TGAAGTAAAAGTATGAAGCAGCACAAACTTGGGAGGAACTTTCATTTCAATATTCTGCTTTTAACAAGTGGCTGGAACACACTTGTTGTCCTCTGATCCCGTGTTGCTCCAGTGGGAGTTTAGATTAACGCCGGAAACTCTTCTGTCTCACCCCTTCCCTCCCCCCTCCTCCCCCCTCCTCCTACATGCTCTGGACTTTCTCAACGCAAGCCAGGTATTTGTAGCTGTGACATAATGCCCCTCTATCTCTCTCTCTCTCTCTCTTTCCCTTTCTCTCTCTCTCTCTTTCTCTCTCTCACACAGACCGTCCCTCCCCCTCACCTCCTCTCTCCCTTCTCCTCCCTTGCCCCCATCCCTCTCTCCCTAGCTTCCAGGCTATAGTGCTAGCTGCAACAGTAAGTGAGTGCTCAGGTTTCATTCTTTCAGCTGCAGGCTGAGAAAAAACATGGCAGTGGAGGAGGCAGCAGACTATTTGGCAGAAGTAAGTCTCTACTGTCTGTTTACTGTAAAGTCATGGAGCTCTCTGACTGTAAACAGACTCCCCTCTCCCTCTCCCTCTCCCTCTCTCTCTCTGTCTGTCTGTCTGTCTCTGCTACCTTGCATTAACGCCAACAAGATTTGGGGCTAATTTACAGCCAGTAGGATTAAGTGATGTTGTGTCCGGTTGTCACCGGTCCGGAGACATTGTCGGATGAGGTGGGACGTTGAGAGGTTGGAGGGGTCGTTGAAGGGGACGGGTCGCAGTGGCACCTCTGCTGCACCACTCTGCTGCAGTGTGCGTGGATGTGTGTGTGTGTGTGTGTGTGTGTGTGTGTGTGTGTGTGTGTGTCTGTTTGCATTCTTAACTGCTTCGCTGTGATTCTACGTTTTATAAAGTCCTGTATGTTTGAGTCTGTGCATACAGTGTTTTGTGTGTGTGGACACAGTTTCATGTTGCAGAGTGATGTGAATGGAAGCACCTGACCTTGGACGGTGCTGCATGCTCTGTGTGTTTGTGTAAAAGTAGGAATAAAAGAGCAAAAAAGAGAGGAGTAAAAGATTATAAATTAGAAGAAGAAGAGAGAGAGATTGCCGTTTTTAATTAGTTAATTTCCTCGTTAATTTAAATTCACTTAGTGAGGTAGAAGGACAGACCTTCATGTGCTCCAAAGGTCTCCCTGAAGCTGCTGATATGTGATATACAATATATGCTAGCTCATCGTTGGCTTACTGCAGCACACAAGCAGCAATTTAATGCTCCTCAACTCAGATTTTAACATTTGTCTGAGCTGCAAATAGAACCAAGTAGGAGGGCTTACATCTCGTGTACTTTAGTATTTAATAAAATGCTGTTTTGCTTCCAGTAAACAAGTGTTTCTATACAGGAAATCTTGCTGGTATGAAGGGCAATCAGTGTCTCGTCCCTCAGCGTCGTCGTTGGTCGCAGGGAGCAGCTCCCATGTTGGAATGTGTGTAACTGTGTTCTGGAAAGAGAGCGACCGTAGCATTCTTTGAATATCTCTCATGGATAAATAAAGTTACACTGCAATGACAGAAGCCTCCACTCTGCTGCGAACAACCATAACATGATCTTACACTAATCTGGAGTCTTTTTTCAGTATTTTAGCGTTTCTTTTGTCACCAACAAATCCATTTAAATGTAAGTCGGCCAAAGTCCTAAATCTCCACCAGATCCCATCCAAATAAGACCACGTCTTTTTTAAAGTTACACAATCAAACACATTACACAGAAGATACAGATGTTTTGAAGAGGTGAAGTTTTGGTAATAAACTCATCAGTTACAAGACTTTCACGAAAGACAACGAACAGAATATAGTCTCGTTTAATTCCTTTGAGTCAAGCTGCTGCCGCTAAATTCCTCAGAAAAATAGTTTGATTTTGTTTTCCCTCATGTTTCAAACTCCAAATCATATCCATCGGATATTTTCAGATCATACATTTGTCCCACTTTTTATCAAACCATAAAATGGACAACAGCTACCACTAAACATTATTTTCTTGATTAATCACATTGTTTGGTCTAAGAAACTGTCAGACAATAGTGAAAACCTGAAAATATGCAGTTCACTGAAGGTTTGGCTTTTTGTCCGGATCCAAACGATTGATGGATCATCATTTATAGCTGCCCTCTAACCGATGAACCTTCAGCTTTAATACAGATATAATAGTAATGTGATGAACAACACAGTGACAACTGCATTCCTGGCTCACGCCAACCGAAGTGGCACAGCACCAGAGAAACCTGAGCGGCGGGATGATGAACAGTGGAAGAATTCACGGCAGGAATTTGAATAGAAAGACGCTTTTATTGATTCTATATCTGTCGTCTGTTATCCGTGACGTTCCTGTGTGCACATGCACATGCGTTCACTGTTCTGTCTGATGTTGCTCAACACTACAGTCATGCACGCTTGAAGCTGCAATCGGCTCTGTTTTCTTTTCCTATCTTTCCATATGTTTTGAGATAATACAGCAATATGAAAGAGTATATGTAGTTCAAGATTCTGGTCGTTTGCATCTGCTTTTGTCGCATTTCTTTAGATGGATGTTTATCTTTCTGGACTGTGTTTTAAAACGTCAAGTTGTGCATTTGTATTGCAAAAGAAATTAAAGAGGAAAGCGTCAGCGTCTAATAGGTTTAATGGTGAGATGTGATGACAGAAATAAGAATAATATCGTCAGTTATGATCGTCATGTTAAATGAAATGTAAGGCCGTATGTGTGCTCTTGTTGTCAAATTTAAGAGCTGCTCAGCTGGACTTCAGTGCTCTGTGGTCAGAGTACTCTCTTATAGCGTGGTGCTTGAAACTGGGATTCTGATAATGCTCTGAGTTATGAGCAGCCAGGCCTGGTGCCACATTTAACTTGAAAGGGTTGGCATTGTGCCTTACAACCGCTCTCAGGGTTTGAAAAACCTTCACGGCACACAGCCTCTACTTTCATAAGACATCAGAAACCGACCACAGGTTTTGGTTTTGATAAGAATTCTTTGATCATACTTTTCCTTTTTCCTCCGCTTGTGTTGCTTGTTACTGTACTGAGCCTGGCTTCAGTAATAACCAATGACTGTATGTGAGCTGCACCTTTCATTCAGTCTGTGTGTTAGCATCTGATTTATGACTGCAGGAGCTGGTTATGCGATCAGGTGGAGGGGATTCAATTCCAGGAAACTCTTAGTTGTATAAAGAAAATTCTCCAATAACCTGTGAAAGATATTACATTTATACAGAATTCATCGTTGTTGGGGAGGTGACAGTGTCAGACTTTCAAAAACGGTGGTTTAATTATTTAAGATAAAAATTCATCGCGGGAACTATTTGTTTGCAGTGTATTGTTTTTCCACAAATGACAAACAGTTCATTGAATGAAGCGAAACATGTTCACTCATTGGTGTTATTCTGCTGGTTTACAGATGTTTCTCTTCATGTGGAGGCAGAATCAGAGGATACAAAGTCAGTTTATTATGATTTCCATGAGCCTTGTGTTGGTCATCTGCTGGAGATTCATGACAATCACGTTAAAGTTTTGATGTAGACTAAGAAAAGGAAAACTTCAATGTGTTGTGACAATATACTAGGCCAGTACTGGTGAGGTGGTTTCTGTTTAGTTTGCACTTTCCTGAAGTGATGCTGCATGAACGAAGCAACAAGACTCAGAAACATGAACAAAAACACCAAATGCAGTCATAAAAACAGTAATGATAGACTGTACTCAAGAGGTTTGTAAAATACTCGCAGTATCATGGCATCCGGTAACCCCCCCCCCCCTCCACAGAATGTATGCTGACACCAGAAACACTCTGTGTGTGTTCATGTGTGGTGATGAACTCCGATAAGATCATTCACTGAGTGGGAAATGAGCTCAGCTGTCAGCTTTATCCAACAATCCGTCTACGACAACAAGGATCACGGTGCAGTGAGCGTGACGAGACTGTCTGACACCGGACTGTAGCTCGTTCAATTACAGACTCAACCTGATGAATCTAACGGGGGAGTCACGTCATGTGTTGTTTTTAAAGCAGACGAGAACAAATCCCATTGGCATTAATTTATAGGAATAAAAACAGTTTTAACATTACTTTATTATGTGAGTGTAATGTTTTAACATTGCTTCTGTTTATCATGGGGCCTTAAAATGCTTTTATTTTACTGAAAGGTTTCCAGCAGTTTTTGACACGTTACTATCTGGTCAGAATCTAATTATTATTATGGTATTATTGATAATTACCGAATAGTAGATGTTAGCATGGACTTGTAGCATTCAAATATAAATCCTCCTCCTAAAAATGCAGCGTTGAATAGTCATTGAAGTCTGGTGAATTATATTATATCAGATACAGAGTTTGTGTGCAAAACTAAGCTCCTTTTGTGTGAGTTTAACTGCTTTCTAGAGAATAACAGTAGAGTTTAATGTGTGGGTGTGTGTTTGAACACATGGGTGGGGCAGACTGAAGCTCTGCAAACATGAAATCAGAGACTCACTCTGATTATCCTCCTTCCTGTTTGTCTGCAGCTCTTTGTCCCACACACACATTTTAATCCAAGTATTCTGGTGCATTCAACGTTTCTACATTATGTTTAAAAACAAAAACCTTCTTATGAAACCGATAATTAAATCCCTCGTTTGTACTTTTTTAAATTTGTGTTATTAAAGTTATTTGTGATGTGACGAGGCTTCACTTCACCCTCAAACCTTCCATTCATAAGATATTCTGTCTTATTCATTCAGCTTCTCAATACAACATTCACCAGCTAATAACATGCGAGCCTTGAAGTATTTAACCGGCAGTATTGATGCTGTGACACATAAATTACAGCTTCTGACTAACGTGTTTCTAGAATAATCGATAACCTAGAACAAGCTCTGAGCAGTTTAAGATATTTACGTTGTCTTTGCGCTGTGACCGTTCAGACATCCACCAGTTTTTACTTTCATGTAGCTGAAGTCACTTCTCTGAAGTTAATGTGACGAACTGTTTATCTTTCTCTGTGTCCTGCAGACGGATATAAATGCCTGTTATCTGAGATCCGCTCGGGCCGGGAACCTCGAGAAAGCTTTGGACTACCTGAAGAATGGAGTCGACATCAACATCTGCAACCAGGTGAGACATGTAATCACATTCGATCCTCAGCCAACAAGAGAAAACCTCCACTTAGTATTATCTGTTTTAGGCTTTCACTGTCCCGCTGAAGTCTGTAGAGGTCTTTAAAAGATCATCTACCCAAAATCTGTTTTACAAAACATCCATAAAAACCTCTCTCACAGGTCTATACTGTTAAAGATCTGATAACGTGCAGAACGCTCACATATTTAAATGAAGGTTATAATATTTGTTCAGGGTTCAAGCTCTTGATTTTAAAATCTCTCTCTCTCTCTCTCTCTCTCTCTCTCTCTCTCTCTCTCTCTCTCTCTCTCTCTCTCTCTCAGAACGGTCTGAATGCTCTCCATCTGGCCTCCAAGGAGGGCCATGTGGAGGTGGTGGCTGAGCTCATCAAGCACGGCGCCAACGTGGACGCTGCGACCAAGGTGTGTGTGCCACACACACACACACACACACACACACACACACACACACGCTGTGGTTTGCTTCGTCAGCTCCCTCCCAAAGTCACGTTGCTTAAGCAGCAGTAAAGAGAGGAACAGCTGCGTGTTAGCAGAGAGGTTGAGTGAACTGATTTAGTGGAAGGAAGCTAAATCGTCGACTGTGTTTCTATGTTTCTATGTAATATAAGTGACAGTGATGTAACTCCACACAGGGAATGCATCCATCAATAAGAAAGCTTAGTGACATTTTATGAGGCTGCATCTCTAAGTCAGTGGTGGAATGTAACTAAGTATGACTACTTTAAGTATCTCCATTTTATGCTATTTATACTTCTACTAAATTCCAGAGGCAAATATTGTTCTTTATATTCTTTTCACTCCACAACATCCGTCTGACAGCTTTATTTACTTCATGTGGCGACTGCAGCTCGGTGGTTCGTCCTTGAACCAGAAGTTAAAGTTAAATGCAGACGGCAAATTTCATGTTTGTACCTGAATGTATTTGAGGATTATATTTTAAGTTTACAGATGACAGTTATTCAGCCCGTACCAGTGTTGTGTTTACAGCTGGTGTCTGCTGCCAAAAAACAAAACAGGTTTTAAGTGCATACACACACACACCGACACAGTGAAGAGGTTGAAGCCCCAGTTTGTTTGCTGCATTTTTACTCCATGAGACACAACTGCAGGTAAATTCAGTACATGTATAGTACATATTGTGCTTTCTTGTGGTAATGCAGTCGAGTAGCACGAGAGGAAAAGGAGATGCAACAGTTCAGATTGAGGAATGAGGGGAGGTGTGTATGTGGAGGTTCCAGTGGCAGCAGGAGTGACAACACGGCGACAGCTGCTGCTGAGCTGCTATAGCTGTAACACACACGACAGGTGCATCCATTAGAGGTTCAGAGTATGCAGCTCACTCTCATACCAACTCATAGCATCCTCTTCTCCGTGAGTGAGATGGTGTTTCCTTCACTCGAGAGCTTCTCCTCTCTGCTGCACCGTCCTACAACCCTCCAGTCAGGAAGGTTCATAAAAGTGTCTCATTATTATGTAACAGGAAGTGACAAACTAAATCATGTATGTTGTTTTATAAATAGGAGAATCTAAATCTTAAGTAATCTGTATTATGTGTGTGTGTTTTGTGTCAGTGTTTTTGAACACCTGCTCCTATAATTTAGAGGCTGTAAACAGGAAAAATGTTAGTTAGCTGTGGGCCCGTTTTTCAGTTTATAGATCTTTACATTTTGGGAAATTAGCACCAATACAGTTATGCTGAATTAGCTATTAGCACTTCCTGTTTGCAGTGTACCCATTAATGTGCAGACAAATGTAACGGGATTACTTTGATACTGAAGTAAGTAAAAATGATTCTCAGGCAGGTTCTGCAGTCAGCGTCCTTTTTAGGAGTTTTTATTCTGATTATGAACGTTCAATCTGAGATAATGAGAACATGGGGATATCAAATAAAACTGAAAATGAAAATATGTGCATCGTGTCTGTGCGTGAAGGTTTGACTGTAATGATTTCGGGACTACTTTATGCACACGTTGAAAATGATACAAAAAAGTCTGAAACGTTTTTCATGTTTTTCAAAGCAGAAAGGAAACACAGCCCTCCACATAGCTTCCCTCGCTGGGCAGACGGACGTAGTGAAGGAACTCGTCACCCACAGTGCCAACGTCAACGCACAGTCTCAGGTAACACACACACACACACACACACACACACACACACACACACACTGAGAGAGGAAGAAAAAGCTTTTATTGATGAGCTCTAATCTTTGCTGCTGTACTGAACCTCAATAATCGGGATCTATAATTTTTAATTTGTTTTATTTTAAAGCAGAATTCAGATTACAGCACCATGAGGAAAGCAGAGATCAGAGCTGATATAAGTTCTTTACATTCTGTATCTATTGCTGTCTTTATGTAGAGAGAAGCTTCTAAAGTGTCTTGTTGTTTCATGATCTATATTAAAGAAACTGTTGTCACATATTCCTGTAGGTTTCTTTTTATTGGTTGTTTTGAGTAAAGCTCTTTGTAACATTGGTTTTAAGAAGTGCTATACAAATAAACTATATTATTATTATTATTAGTAGTAGTAGTAGTAGTAGTAGCAGCCTAATAGTAGTACATAACCACAATAAACAATGTGTTATTTACATTTATGCTCAGATTATGAAAATGGATTAATAATTAGGGATTCTACATATTTTAAAGAGCATTTTACCTCACGGAAAATAAAATTGCATGAACAGCAATTTATATTCATGATTTTTTTATTCTTTTAATTTTTTTCCCGCTAGAAACATCTGGCGGGCCAAATCGAACCACTTTGGTTGGTGGATGTTTTTGTATATATTGTGGATAAAGCTAGGCTAGCTGTCTTTATGCTAAGCTAGCAGTCATATTTGCTGTACTGTTGTTTCGATCTTCCTAAACGTGGAAGTGATTTCTGAAAATGTGAAACTATTCCTTCAACGCCGTCACCTGAACAGCCACCTTATTGTTTCTGCGAGGTACTTTCAGATTGTTGCTGCGAAAAAAAGCATTAAAGTCAATCTGCAGTTTTATTCTTTTTGATCCTTCAACGTTTTGTTTCCACTGTGTCCTTCGTCCTCGCTGCATTTTGACTTGTGAAGTTTAAATGAAATGTTTTATGAGAGAATCTGTCGGTGCCTTGACACCAGAATGAATACACAAAAGAGAGGAGGAGGAGGAGGAGGAGGAGGAGGAGGAGGAGGAAGAAGAAGAAGAAGAAGAAGGAGGAGGAGGAGGAGGAGGAGAGGCTTTTTTGCTTGTTGAAGGGATTTTTGGATCCTCGTGTTGCTATGGAGATCTGGCCTTGTTCTAGTGTCGCATCACACACACACACACACACACACACACACCTCAACTGCAGCCACAGACCAGCCTTTATCTGTGCTGTTATCAGGTGTGAGGTATGTGTGGAGGTGACATGTGTCTCCGTGATATCTCTGCTGGAATAGAAACACTTGTGAGCAGCTGTGGAGATCAAAACATCAATCATGTTTCTGTTCATTGCAGCAAAATATCACGATGAAGCGTGTCTTCTTCAAATTTAATTATGAAACCATTTATAGATATCTGACTTTTGGCTGACGCAGTGAATTAAATACCTGACAAATGAAGGTGCTTCATCTCATTAATGCAAAACATCTTGTAAATCCAATATTGCCAAAAAGCAGCTTATTGATTTTCAACACTGCCCACGATGACCTAATGCAAGCAGAGATATTAATGAGGTCATTTACATTCTCAGCCTTTACAGTACATGTGACATACGTTCCTAATAATATGTGCTTTAACTGATATGTAACTTTAAATTAAATTTAAATTAAAAACTGTCATAATTAGGATATAGCTTTCTTGAAGCTTCCAATATATATTTATTCGTGATACAATGTGCTTCCATACATTCTGACTTCCTGCTCATACAGCAGAAGATTCACATCTAAAGATAGACATCACGATCATGACTTCAGGTCTGATTCACTGTTTCTTCTTTTCTTTTCCAGAATGGCTTCACTCCGCTGTACATGGCGGCGCAGGAGAACCACATGGACGTGGTGCAGTACTTACTGGACCACGGCTCCAGCCAGAGCATCGCCACAGAGGTAACAAACGGATCATCCACGAAGCGTAAACAGCTTTTAAACAGCCGCCCGTCATCTCCCCTCTCGCTGAGCCTCCCTGTAATCACACTGCAGCATGATACGACCTGCACACTCTGTGGTGCAGATAGGTGGCTGCTACCAGTCACTCACTCAGGAGACAAAAGCATGAAGTCATTGTTTAGGATGTGAGAGGTAAAAATAGATGAAGAAAGAGATGATGAGGAGGAGGAGAGCGTGATGACTTATTCATGCAGAGTGACCTTGACTGTCTTCAGAGGGAGGAACCGGTGACGTTACAGACGTGTGTGTGTGTGTGTGTGTGTGTGTGTGTGTGTGTGAACAAGTGTTACGCTGTGAGTGTGGCGGATCAATCCATCATCTGCTGTAGTGCCGGCAGACGGCCAACTGCCACAAAAATTGACAAACACGTCCTCAGTTTGGCTGCAAACACATTTAAAACGTCAGCGCTTATAATATATTAATATCATATTTAATACTATTTAAACAGCGGGAAATATGTAATAGACAGTACATCAGGATTATTCTCTTGTATGGTTTAAACATGTTTGATTATAGTGCCAATGAAATACCAGAATAGTCTAGAAAATACTTACAAATAGAAGTCCTGCAATTAAAATGTTACTTTAGTAAAAGTACAGAAGTATTATCAACAATGTACTCAAAGTATTACAACGCAACTACTCCTTTGCAAGTGAATTGTATATCATTGTGTTTATATCTCTTAACTAATAAACAAAAGAAGCCATCAAACTGCAACCTGTCATTGATCGTAGAGTAAATCTGAAATATTATCTCAATATGTTTAACATGTCACTGAAAATATAAGCAAATAAATGTGAGTTGGATTATTTGACATCTGTAGTTTATAGCAAACGTCACTCAAACGGGAGGAAATTCTGCTTTTGTTGGGGACTATTTTCAGCGGCGGATTAACATACATGTGGTGCTCTAGTGAGTATTTGGGGCAGCAGTGTGTGTGTGTGTGTGTGTGTGTGTGTGTGTGTGTGTGTGTGTGTGATTGAGTCAAAATAAACTACAGTGTGTGTGTGTTTGTGCCCTCATCTCTCCTTTCATCTCTCTTTGTTTCTCCTCCTCCATCATTCCTCCTTTTGTCTTCCTCCTCCTCCTCCCCGCCACGTCTTGCTGTTCTCCTTCTTTCCTCCTCCTCCTCCTCCTCCTCACTGTCTTATTCAGCAGGAGACATGAGTGAATTATTCATGTGGGGAAATATATATCCATGTTTGAAGCAACTCACGGTGTTTAATAATTCATGTTTAACCATTTCAGCATAGCATGAAGCAGAACAGATCAGAATTCCTTTGTTTTTAGATAACCTCAGTCTGCATTTGATCTTTTTTATTGCAGGTATTGTATTTTTGTTTAACAAAACAAAATATGCTGGTCTTAATATTTTCTTTATGATTTGATGCTACTGCAGTATGAAGGTCACTGATCTGTTTCTCTAGTTATGATTAACAATCTAATGAGGATTGTTTTGTTTTGTGTTTTTATTTTTAGCTAATTCTGTTTCAGTGAGGGGAAATTCTGCTGAGTCACTGCAAGCTTTCAAGCTCAAAGATAAAGATCAAAAAGCTTCGTCTAGTGCCTTCCTCTTTGCTGCTGCTGCTGCTGTCTCTTGAAGTATTTTTAGGGCATTAAACTGACTTTGTGCCTTTTCCCTGAATCCCTAATGGAGCAGATCAAACAGCAGGGTAGTGCTCCGGGATGGCGTTTGACTTTTGCAATTCTGAAAAAAAAAGGCTAAATTTATGCATATGAAGACATTTGTGTGGCTGCAGAGATGCTGGTGGATCATGAATGTGTGCTTGAATGTGTGTGTGTGTGTGTGTGTGTTTGTTTGTTTGTGTTCTTGCCTGCATAGTTGTGTGTGTGCGTGATCTCTGAGGGGAGCTTCTGCTTTGATGTATGGGTGTAGCGATGCTGCTGACTTGGTTTTATCCAGACAGCCGGCGTCCTGTGTAAACACACACACACACACACACACACGTAAACACACGATGTCTGTGTTGTTTTTCTTGTGAGACATCTTTCCTTTTCTTTGATGATTCATAGATATCGCTGCTGCTCGTCTCAGCCGTGTGTGTCATTTATTACATCGTCTGTTTGCAGGAGGATGCAGATGAAGTTAGTGTCATTCTGTCTGTGCCCATTAGCAGCTATTTCCTTTCGGTTTGTCCTTCAGCGAGACACTGGTCTCCTCCTCATCCACTTAAACTCTCTTTAGAGCATTAGCTTAAATGCTTGAATAGACAAAGTGTTATTAGACTGCCCTGTGCTTGTTCTACGTATCCTCACACAACTCTTTGTATGATGTCCTACGTAAAGTTACCGTTCTACAAATGTCCACGAACACAAGCGTAGTTTGAGTTACAATAAGTACAGAAGTTGTGTTAACTTGACAAATAAGTCATTGTTGATTTCTGGATTCACACGGGACATGAACAGCGGTCTCCCGGGTGAAAGTCCCACATCCACGCCTCTCCTGGCTCACTGTTACGTGGATCTCATACAACTTGATTACATGGGATGTATAGGGATCGTAGCGCGTTATTTTTCGTAGCAATAGTTGTGAACAGTGTGTGAGAACCGCCTGGCTTGTTCAGCCCCTTTCAGCCAGGCAGCCCTTTGTGTTAATCTGCAGTTTGACAAACCTGAATGGTCCCGTGTACAAAAAAGTCACAACGACAATCTGACGATGTTGCACATAGTCACGTTTCCGGCTCAAGTCCAAGATGAATGTTGTCAGATTAACGTTTAGGCTTTAGTAACATGAACATGCAGCGAGATTCAGTTTAAATGCACGTCCACTTTCTAAGATCACTGTCATGAATTTAAAATCTCAATCTTTGTCTCTCATTCACAAAGACAGTAACACCAGTTTAATGAACTTGTAATTGTATTCATATCAGATCACGTTCTCCAGCTGTTATTTCTCACTTGTGCACAGACGGATATTACAATTCGCTCTCTAATAACATTAAATGATGAAAATGTGTCAGTGAGAAGCTTCCCTCACGCAAACGATGGTCATAATTTCAGGCTTCAGCTGCAAAATATCTTTTAAATTTCCATCAGTTAAATCACTGCTTTCTTTCTGTAAATCTGCCGCCGTGTCCGAATAAAACCGTAAGGAACATCAGCCTAGAGGAGGCTAGCTAGTTAGCTAACTAGAGGAAGACAGCAATGTAACGTATCCCATTTCTGACAATGGCAGCAGATGTCAAGATAACAAAACTAGCGAAAAAAACAAACAAACAATGAACACAAAAAAAGAAAAGATGCCTTTAATAGTAACAGCTGTTGAAACGAGCAACTCTATACTGTGTTGAAAATGAATAAAACACTTGTTATTGATGTTATCTTAAACTTTATGTGAAGAAATATCAATTGTCTCTCTCTCTCTACAGAAGATATTTTGGAAATGCTGTTTTCTTGTTATCTGCTGTCTCCTATCAGCTGTCAGCTAACATGGAGTAAACTCTTATGTTTTTTTGTGTCCGGTCCACAGGACGGTTTCACACCGCTGGCGGTGGCGCTGCAGCAGGGCCACGACCAGGTGGTCTCCCTCCTGCTGGAAAACGACACCAAGGGGAAGGTCCGCCTGCCTGCGCTGCACATCGCCGCACGGAAAGACGACACCAAGGCCGCCGCGCTCCTCCTCCAGACCGACCACAACGCCGACGTGGAGTCCAAGGTACGCTCTCTGGGACTACAACTCCCATCATGCCCTACTGCCAGAGGCGATGGGATTTTGTTTATTTGATGACATTCATTTTTCTACTTTTCTACTTAATACTTTAGAGTTTTATCTCGTTTTTTTTTCAGGTAAATTTACCACTTTAATCTGTGAAATTCTGATTTCTTTTTAATTTTCTGCACAGTGTAGAATAAATAACAGATTATAAGGGAGAGTCTCGGTCCATCACCCAGTCGTGTGCACTTCTGTGTGGTTGTCTTTTGGTTCTTCTCACCATGTTCTCATTTATCCATCCTACAGCTTGGTGCAACTGTGGTGTTGGTGTTGTAGTTGTTGTGGTGCACTAACCGCCCCATTCTCTCCTCCTCCTCCTCCCTCTATTCGTTCCTTTGTGTTACCCTACCGCCTCCCCCCTTTTGCCTTCTAGATGATGGTGAATAGAACAACAGAGGTACATCTTCTCTTCTCTGCTTCCTCTCTCCTTCCTCTGCGGTCATTGTTCACTCACGGTCACCATTGCAAAGCCTTCTGTCTGCTAGCATGAACGCTAAATGCCGGCCTGAATGCTTTTGCTGCTGACAGCGTCTCATCTGCTGTTTTTAAACCAGCATCACATTTCGACTGTGCTGAGTGTGCATCCAGTGGCTTGCTGCTTTTGGGCAGAGATGAGATAAATAACATAAGTTACTTTAGGTATATCTACAGATTTTTTAATTACCTATAGCCAACAGCAACGATGACTTTCACATGGTTAATTCAGCATAATGTACATTTCCACTGCTGTATTTCCATCAGTACAACAACTGTCATGTTGTACTTCCGCCTTCGATGTTCTGGTTTCTATTTACAAGAAAGAAAAAAACTGTTTAATCCACCTGTAAATTCCACTTTTTCCAACTTCCCCAACCTCTACTGAGCTGCCGTCATTTAAACTTTCACTTTAAGCTGGAATACTTTTAATCTCAACATTTCACAGAAAAATGTAAACGCGATGGACTGGAATTAATAGCTGAATGAAAACAGTAAGTGAAATATCACCCAACATAGCTAATGCTGTTGAAGTGTAAATAATACTGAGCTTATCAAGAAAACTGGTCAACTTGGAGGACGTTTTGAGTTTGTTTATCTGGGAAGCAAGTGAAATATAAACCTGCTCCAAATAAATGCCGGGTTTGCGTTTACAATTTGCATTTAAATTGAGTGAAGCGTTGAATGTCAATGTGTCACGTGAAGCAGGCGGCAGTAACCTCTTCACTGCAACTCCTGAGGGTGTGTTTTTTTGTCATGAATACTTTCACACAGAAAGTGAATATTACGCAACGAAAAAAGCGACTCTTCAGGTTGTGTGGAAAGAACTATTTGAAACGCATACACGGTATACGTTTCAAATAGTAAACTGTATCACTCCTCTCAACCTCGACAAAGGCAGCGTATCAGATCCGCTCCTTCTGTCCACATACACGCTTGTATGTCTCGTAGCTCAAGCTATACAGCGGTTTATCTCAGACAGACTGCCAGACGCTGCTCTGGAGGAATCTACTCAAACCTTTTAATGAAAAAGTGCTGCACCTGTCACAGATTTGCATTGCTGCCCGGAATGAACAGATTTGATGTGAAATATTTGCCAGAAAGCATTTCATATTTTCATGTCGTTTATCCATCACGCCCCTCCCCCCCCCCCCCCCCCCCCCCCCCCCGGTGTGTAAAGGCCTTTAACTCCAGCAGTAAAGTGTTTGAGTGTATTTCTCAAAATGCAAACTATTCCGTTAATGTCTCAGTTAAAGAACGTACATTTGGTAATAATGGATTTTGAATGAGCAAAGTGATTTTCTGTTTGTGGTTTGGGCAGAAAATGACTAGAATGTGTTACTTCTGAGTGCCAGATGAATTAACCCTCATCTTCCTGGTTTTTCTCTTCATCTGCTGTTAATGGTTCAGTCCATGTCTTTGGCATGTTGTATTGACGGATGTGACAGAAATATACCAGCACAGTGTTTTATCCTCTTCTTCCATGACTCCCCCTTTCTCCATCAACAGTAGCACCTTTCTGTAACGTGATCCAGTTACAGTAACATTTGTGACATCTGTCAACTGGAAAACGTGCTCTATGTTCCTCGCACTGCTTGAGAGATTGTATATTGTTTGAATCAAGTTAAATTAATTATGGCTGCATGCATGTGTGACATCTAAGATTCTCACCCAGCTGTCCATAAGAGGAAAAACTGGACGGCTGAAGTGATAGTGATGCATTTACTTCACCTTTAGCGTGCCAATATATTTTAGTTAATTGCATTTTTTTTAACAAACATGAGCCTGAAATTGTGCTGAATATCCTTTTTGAGGAAATGCTAATTACTGTCACTGAGAGCTGTTTCATAATTCAGACTTAACTCTCTAAGATTATCTGAACAAGTTAATGATTTATGATTTGGATGATTATGACTTTAATAAATCCACATTAATCCAAGCTGTTCGCTTTGATGTATTCAAGTTATATAAAGGTTTCTTTAGGGTCAGGCCTGGTTTAAATCCAGATAACTCATGCAGATGCACGCTCACCTGCATGTATTTTGTATTTCCTTTCAGATGAAAGCATATCACTGAAGAGTAGATTTCTTTTTTTTAGGAATTGAGACAAAAACTTAGATGAATGCTCAATTTATTAATTCCCTTTGCATGGTTTTAATTTTACAGGAGCTTAATGTGCTTTTATTTGCTTATTAATGTGATTCCATCCACTCCAGACCTGAACGATGTCACCGTTACACGAGAGAAGTAGGAATCTATATTTTATTATCAAAGGAAAAGTCCAGCACTCAAAGCATGTTTGACTCGTCTGCTCTGTTGCTCTCGGCTAATTAATATCCCATCATGCCTTTTGCTCGTGGCTCATGAAGAGATATATTTTACTTCTTTTCCTCCCTCTTTTAATAGAATATGTTTCTCCTTCTGTCTCTCGTCCCTCTCAGAGCGGATTCACTCCTCTCCATATTGCGGCTCACTACGGCAATATCAACGTAGCAACGCTCCTGCTGAACAGAGGGGCGGCTGTGGACTTCAAGGCAAGGGTGGGTACTTTGCCTCACACACACACACACACACACACACACACACATCTTTTGAAGTGAGCGCTGCTGCAAACACTCACTCAGAGACTCTCAAATGTGGGCGGGCCCATATGTATGTAAGTGTGTGTGTGCAGGAATCCAACATCGAGTGCAGTCATGTAATCCTGCAGCTGTGCTTGTCACTCTGCAGGGAGGAAAACATATACATGTCGTCAGCTACGTGACCCTATAGACTGTAGGAATGGATGTGTCTCAGATAATCAGCGTCGAAGGAGGAACTCAGATGTTTTATATCAGTAAAAGTAGTGACCACAGTGGAGAAAAATGCTCTGTTAGAAGTAAAAGTCCTGCTTTCAGTCCCTGCTGCAGTAAAGGGAGGATGGTGCTCTGAAACACTACCTCTGTTGTCCACAGGGAGCGCCATTATCAACACTAAATTAAAGTTCCTCCTGTAGCTTTAAATTAAGTAAAAGTATTCAATATAAAATATAGAATAACAGCCAGCCATATCCTTTAACATTTACTGTAGATCATTGTGCAAATGATGTTCTCATAATGACATTAGTTCAAAGACACTACGACCAAATAACACTGATAAGCCGTCTGTAGTCACACAGACACAATGATGAAATAGTGTCCTTTTAAAACCTCCTCCTCCACTTTAGCCCGATAGAAAGACACCCAGGGGAAACAAAGAAAGCAAGAAACGATTAGACTACAACACTGCAGCTGTCGCTGCTGGAATGGTTACACCCCCCTAGAGGGGGATATTTATCCATTTTCCTCCTGCACTGTCAAAAGAAAGCTCTTTTTCTTTAGTTCAGTGTGCAAATTTCAGACAAGTGGGATGTATTAAAAATGCTGCAGGCACGGACAGGCTGTCTGAAATGCGTTCGACGGCTTCATGTTTAGTTGAAAAAAGTCCATTTTATGCACATTTCATCGTTACTTGACAATTATGTAAGACAGAGCAAGGACGTTCGCTGTCGTGTTGCTATTTCACTTTTCTTTCTTAAAATAAGGCACGACGTAAACTGGCCGATAAAATTCTGCTGATCGACGGAATGATGCTTTTCTTTCTCCTCAGAATGACATCACACCGCTGCACGTAGCATCCAAACGTGGGAACGGCAACATGGTGCGACTGCTGCTGGAGAGAGGGGCCAAGATAGATGCACGGACCAAGGTACGTACACAAAATCTACATTTTTAAACTGATGTTAATAAATAAAGAGGTGGCTCTGCACTTTCATAGAGCTAGAGGCCTGAAAAAGACACACTAAGAGGAATACTTCACCCTCAAAATGATCATTTGTACATCAGTTACTCACGCCGTGTTACTTTGAATTCTTGAGGAAAGCTTTGTTTTTTTGATTCTCCGTTCACTGTGAAAGCATGAGAGAAAAAACAGAAAAGTCTTGAATAATTGAAGTAAATTGGGGCCAAACTCTCGCACAACTCGTGCGGTATAATCTCATATAGTCTCATGTATCCAGTCGTACGCTCGCTACTTCCCAAACAACATGCATCTTCACTACAACTTACTTTTTAAAATATTTATAGCGAGCATGAGACTGTTTTTGCGATGTGTTCTTGGAAATGTATTGATTCTCTCCGTTCACCTTGGAGGTATGCGAAGAGAAAACGTTTTCTTCAAGAGGTCAATCTCACACGGGTTGACTATTCGATATATAAAGAGGTTGTTTTGTGGGTGAAGTGCTCCTTTAAGGACACTGTTGGTGACGGTATGAAGTTCACTGCACCTGTTTTTTCCCAGGACGGTCTGACTCCTCTCCACTGTGGAGCCAGGAGCGGCCATGAGCAGGTGGTGGAGATGCTGCTGGACCGAGGAGCTCCGATACTATCGAAGACGAAGGTAGCCTCCTCTCCGTCTGTGTCTTTATATCTCTTTGCCTCCCAACTCGTGTCTTTCAGCCGTATTAACCCGTGACCGTATTCCCTCCAGAACGGTTTGTCTCCGCTCCACATGGCGACGCAGGGCGACCACCTCAACTGCGTCCAGCTGCTGCTGCACCACGAGGTTCCCGTGGACGACGTGACCAACGACTACCTGACGGCGCTGCACGTGGCCGCCCACTGCGGGCACTACAAGGTGGCGAAGGTCATCGTGGACAAGAAGGCCAACCCCAACGCCAAGGCACTGGTGAGGATAAGAGGGTGTCGATCCTCATAGTTTCAGAAACAGACTCACTTATCATTTACTGTGAAGTGTGGAAAGAAACGTGAGGAAGGTATATCTGTATATGTATACTGTGACGGCCCAGGGCCATCAGGAAGATTGGAGGCAGCTGGCCAACGCCTTCGCCCTACAAGACCCGCCCCATCCGGAGGAGGGGCTGGCTTCTTTTCCCTGGTGTGCCACACGGAGTGTTTAGGGGGAGCAGTTACACCGTCTGGGATGCTGCGAGAATGCTCTCCTGTTGTGCACTTTGAACTGTCCCGACCTTTTTCTAATAAAGGTGGTTTCTTTATTTAGCACCGTGCCTGAGTTTTCGTTACGTTTTGTTGTGGTTCAAGAGCCAGACCATAACAATACAGAGAGAGACGCTCCACTTAGGAGGGTTTAAAATCAATCAAAGACTTGATCTGATCAAGAGACGGAAGGATTCAACTCACACTTGAGCAATGTTTAAAGAGAAATGTTACGAGGCTAGGTATGACTTCGTAAGATTACCATCATGGAAAACTGACGGAAAACTACCTGCACATTGTGTACGTCAGAAATGGACTTTAAAGAAGAAAGTAATGGAAAAGTATTTGATATTTTCAAACCACCTTTCCTTCCTTTTCTTCCTCACCTCCCAACGTTGTGTTCGTTTACAACAGAAAGAGAGAAATAAGGGACTTTAACAGAGACGAAAAGACACGTGAAGGAAACAGAACGAGGAGACTAAAACGTCTGTCACTGTGTTGGTGTAAGACAAGCATCTCTGCTCTGTAATGGGAGAAGTCTGGGTGTGGTTGGAGTGCTGGGACTTTATAGCCAGAGACAAGGGAACAAAAATGAAGTCATAGGATCGAGCCAGAAACCTCAAAGTCGGGGGGGGGGGGGGTGTACGTGTTGTAAAGAAAAGTATCTATTTCAGTACAGCATACTTTTTCTTTTTTTTCTGTTTCTTTAACAGCTTAGAGTCGAGTCAATTATTTCCACACATGGTTGTCTGGTTTGCATGCAGAGCGGTGAAGAGAAAAAGTAAAAGACAGAGGGGGGAAAAAGCGAAGAAGGCTTTGTACTGTAGTTTCCATTCGCCGTTCCAGACTTATCTTCCGCCAGCTCAGCAAGACCTGCAGAGAAACACACACAGAAAACCAGATTTTGGACTGTTTTTACCTTAAAATGTTCATATTCTCTTGTTAATTGTGTGTTTTTTATTAGAATGGTTTCACTCCGCTGCACATTGCCTGTAAGAAAAACAGAGTCAAGGTGATGGAGCTTCTTCTGAAGCATGGAGCGTCGATACAGGCAGTCACTGAGGTAGGTGTGTGTGTGTGTGTGTGCGTGCGTGTGTCTGTGTGTGTCTGTGTGTGTGTGTGTGTGTGTGTGTGTGTGTGTGTGTGTGTGTCATGGAAACACGGTGTTATCAGTTATTTTTGTAATCAGCTTTCCCAGCAATAGAAGTTGAAGTACACTTACTCAAAAACTGCACTTAAGCACAGCTTTGAACTTTTGACACATACTTGTACATCGCTTGTGTACTTATATTTTATGCTGCTACTTCAACTCCTCCGCATTTCAGAGGGAATTACTGTACTTTTTGTTCCACATTTAAAATACTGCGCACACTGCACAAAATCTCCCATCCTACCAAGTATTTCTTTCTCTTTTATTTAGTGCTTAAAGTCTTTCTTAATAAACTGAAACATAATCTTTAACTCCTGTGATATATACATCATATAAAGTTAAAATCAGCTGCACCAGAATTAACTTGACATCCTTCTTACATGTTAATGATGAAAATAATCCAACAATAACTCTGTGAAAATGGTCATTCTAGTACATAAGGAGTACAGTCTAGCTAGTGAGCAGTAGCTAGAGAGTATTCTCATGTGGTGTACTCTATGTTTAATAATTAGATTTTCGGGGCCGGCTGTGACTCATACATAGAGCGGGTCCTCTTTCCATTGGAGATCAGCGGTTCGATCCCCGCCTCCTTTCAGTCCTTGTCAATGTGTCCTTGGGCAAGATACTTAACGCATGGTGTCTAACTTGCTCCCTCCTCCGTGTGTCTCCTCACTAAACAGTCCGGTCTGACTCCGATCCATGTCGCAGCGTTCATGGGACACGACAACATCGTGCACCAGCTGATCAACCACGGGGCTTCACCAAACACCAGCAACGTGGTGAGTTCTGATCCGGCTTTGTTTCTCTCCGTCTCGTGTCCTTCTTTGTCCTCACGAAGGACATCAACACGGCTTCTCTTCCATGTGGTTGAAAGCAGCTAAATACATGTACTCAAGTGCTGTACTTCCATTTTACTCTACTTTAAACTTATATTCCAGTACATTTCAGAGGGAAAAGTTGTACTTTTTACTGCAATACATTTATTTGACAGCGATAGTTAACTAGTTGCTTTTCAAAGTAATGTCTTATATTCATCAACATGGGAAAATCTTGTAAAATACAACATGTTGTTAAAGATTAAAGCAGTGGTTCCCGACTGTTTTGGGCCGCTTGTGATGTTTCGGATGTCTTTGAGTTTGTTAGCATTTCTATCAAAGAGGGATTTCCTCTCTAGACTTAGTTTAGTTGGTTTAGTTTAATATTTGTTTGAGGCCCTGCGACAGAAACTTCAGATTCATATAAAGACTCTTTGCTGTGGCCCGACCCCGAGGTTGAGGAATACTAAATAAAGCTCCCAAACTTCATATTAAGTAGTTTAAAGCAGCAGCTAACACAGTATTATGCATCAGTATTAACAATAGGAATAAAAGGGAAAGAGAGGGATAGATGGGATGAAGAGTTGAAAGAGAAGAAGTGAGCAACGAGGAAACAGAGAAAGGGGGGAAGAGCGCTGCACAGTCAACTCTTCAACCCCAAGTATTTGGTCGCCCACACCGTGTCTGTGGCCAGGTTACTGTAGAAACGGAGCATTATGGGACGTCATTATGGTGAGTTGGGTGTGGAGAGCAAGGGGGTCTCTCTCTCTCTCTCTCTCTCTCTCTCTCTCTCGCTCTCTCTTTCTGCCTCCCATCTTAACAGAAAGAGAGTTTTCATGAGGAAGGAGGGCAGAGAAGAATCAAAACTCTGGAGTAATTTATCAATCCCTCTTTCTGGTGTGTGTGTGTGTGTGTGTGTGTGTGTGTGTTATGTGTGTGTTTTGTGTGTGTGTGTGTGTGTTGCAGAGGGGGGAGACAGCGCTCCACATGGCAGCGAGGGCCGGACAGTCGAATGTGGTGCGATATCTGATCCAGAACGGAGCACAAGTCGACGCCAAGGCCAAGGTAGACCACGTTTGACTTCAGACAGAAATCCTCCTTCTAAAGAGTGTTGGAATGTAACTAAGTACATTTACTCAAGTACAAGTACAATTCAGCTGTACTTGTACTTTGCTAGGTGATTCCATACTTTATATCAACTCTAAATGTCTGTTTCTTTGTCGCCAGGATGACCAGACTCCGCTGCACATCTCAAGCCGTCTCGGTAAGCAAGACATCGTCCACCAGCTGCTGTCGAACGGAGCGTGCCCGGATGCCACGACCAACTCCGGGTACACACCTTTACACCTGGCGGCCAGGGAGGGACACAGAGACTTGGCTTCAACGCTGCTGGACCAAGGGGCGAGTCTGGGCATCATTACCAAGGTAAAGCGGATGTGTGGAGGCCGACGCTTCTCAGACACGGGTTGTTTTGATGGCTGAAGGTTGATCCATGATTCACACACATTGTTACTGCTACACACAAAATCAAAGAAACTTGGATTGAGGAGCCTCAGTTACAGTTGAGTCTCTGCCAATTGGGTCAGAATAACGTCTCTAGAGTCAGAAAACACTGTTTGTTTGTTTGTGGGTTATTCATTTCATAACATCCATTCAAACTGCAATGGAGTATTTGATGGCCACAGTTATGAAACTGAGGAAAGTCCCTAAACTCTAAATAGAGTCAAGTAGAGGAGATGTTTCCAGATGATGCTTTAAACCGTGACTGGATTTTGGCAAAGAAAGAATAAAACAGACTCTACTTGAGGTCCTTTTTAGGCTGCGACCACCCAGCAGCCATTGAATCTAATAGGACAAAGACTGCTATGATCCACAATGCTGCATATTACATATAAATGTGCTGTAGAATGAGATTGTGTTATTGATTTTATAGAAACTCCTTAGTCGAGTTAGAGGCCACTGTTTTTCAAGGGGATGGGTAGCCAGAGTGTTGCTTTCCTTATTGATCACCAATACATTTCAGTGAAGATCATAGATTACTTCATTTCACTTTAAAGGACGGATGAAGCACACATGTGGGCTACAGTCCAAACATAGAGTCGAATATAATCAAAGATAATCTAATCTAATAAAAGAATGATGTGTATTCAACTATCGGACAACAGATAATAGATTCATAAAGTCGAAATGTTTGGTCCTTGAACCAGAAAACCAGTCTGGATTGTGTCAAGTCACCTAATATATAGACACACACAGAGTCTCTCTGGACAGAGTTGGTTCAAGGATCTGTGTTGCCTCATAGCTGATGTCACACACTTCTCCACATCCAGAGCACGTATTTCATTTCATCCTTTTTAAGCACCAAATAATCAGTTCAGTGTTATGTCATGACACAACCCTGAAAAAAACTCAATTATACGTGATTAAACACACACTATTTTACGGAGCAGCCGTGTATAGACTCATGAGAAACCATTAACTGAAGTGTGAAGTACAACTAAGATTAGATTTTGTAATACATTTGGTTTAATATCCTTTGTCCGGGTCGTTGTGTGTCTCTGCAGAAGGGCTTCACTCCTTTGCATGTGGCTGCAAAATACGGGAAGATCGAGGTCGCCAACCTGCTGCTGCAGAAAAATGCTCCGTCTGATGCTGCTGGGAAGGTAACGCATGTTTAAACGCTGGCGTGTGAGAGGAAATGATGGTTTTAGTGCGACACATAAAGAACAGGGCACAGTAAATATCCCTATATGCAACTCACACACGTGTTTGTTTGTTAGCTACCCTCAAAGCTTTCTCAGTCTCTTTATCAACACACTGCACTTTACTGTATGTTAACCACATCACAATCCTTGTGTGTGTGTGTGTGTCCAGAGTGGACTAACTCCACTGCATGTGGCAGCACACTATGATAACCAGAAGGTGGCGCTGCTCCTGCTCAACCAGGGAGCTTCACCGCATGCAGCCGCTAAGGTAAGAGTCAGTCGAAGTGAGTTAGATCGAATGTTCCTCAATGCACTGATGCACCAAAACCTCTCTCTCTCTCTGTCTCTCTCTCTCTCTCTCTCTCTCTCTCTCTCTCTCTCTCTCTCTCTCACTCTCACTCTCACTCTTTGGCTCTGGGTGAAAGCAGGCTGACCTAGTTTCAGTCACCCACATGCAATTACACTGTGTACTATAGCGGAGAGAAGCATTGTGATTGGCTGGTTGGATTCCCCAACAGGATCTACCGAGGAAGAGCTGCCACTGAAATTAGCTAGGCCCCAATAACTCTTATTCTCACAGTCAGTGTTTTCAGGCAATGGCCCCACACAAAACATGGATTCTAGCTAATGTTTTAATATCTATCATTTTCATGCTAAGCTAAACGTCTCCTTATCATCGGGTTTAACATACAGATATAAGAGTCATCCAATTCTCAGCCATAAAGTACATTTTCCAAAAATTTTGACTTCAGGTTTGTGTGCGAGCGGTGTAAGAAAAATCACATGACGTGAACGAAGACACGATCCTCTCTGTTTCTCTACACCCAGAACGGTTACACACCCCTCCACATCGCAGCTAAGAAGAACCAGATGGAGATCACCACCACCTTGCTGGAATACGGTGCCTCCACCAACACCGTGACTCGCCAGGGCATCACTCCGCTGCACCTCGCGGCGCAGGAAGGCAACGTGGACATCGTGACGCTGCTGCTGGCCCGAGACGCTCCTATAAACATGGGCAATAAGGTACCACATCTGTATGTTTGTGTGTGTACTACAGACTTGTGTTTCAATGGCCTCTTTATCCACAATTCTGTTATTTTGCCAAATATCTGTGCAGTTTCTGGTATGGGTGTGTCAACTTCTGTTCTCTTGTTATAATGCACAGATCTCTGGATTTTATTGTACTCTATTCAACACCTTTCTATCCCTCCGTCTCTGTAGTTTTAACTCTGTCTGTATATTTAACTGTCTGTCCTCAGTCCAGTCTGACTCCGCTCCACCTGGCTGCCCAGGAGGATAAAGTCAACGTTGCTGAGGTCTTAGTCAACCAGGGAGCTACCATAGACCCAGAGACCAAGGTAATGATACAAGTGTCTTCTGGTCCTTATTGTTCATTTATCAAGCAAACATGCCAATTATTCACCGGTTCCAGCTTCTCAAATGTGAGGATTTGCTGCTTTTTCTCTTTTTATACTATTTTAAGTTGAGTATCTTTGGGTTTTGGACAGTTGGTTGAACATTCAGTTGTCTATCCGGCTGCAGATGAATGGATAGATGGATGGATAGATAGATAGATAGATAGATGGATGGATAGATGGATAGATGGATAGATAGATGGATGGATAGATAGATAGATAGATGGATGGATAGATAGATGGATGGATAGATAGATAGATAGATAGATGGATGGATGGATAGATAGATAGATGGATGGATAGATAGATAGATGGATGGATGGATGGATGGATGGATGGATGGATGGATGGATGGATAGATAGATAGATAGATAGATAGATGGATGGATAGATGGATAGATGGATAGATAGATGGATGGATAGATAGATGGATGGATAGATAGATAGATAGATAGATGGATGGATGGATAGATAGATAGATGGATGGATAGATAGATAGATGGATGGATGGATGGATGGATGGATGGATGGATGGATGGATGGATGGATAGATAGATAGATAGATAGATAGATAGATAGATAGATGGATGGATGGACAAACCGTTTGTCAATCTGTGTTCTTTAGAAAGTACTATTGTCAGTAACCTGGATGACTGTCTCCTTGCTGATCACATTGCTCTGAATGATTTTCTGCATCATCAGCTGGGATACACTCCTCTCCATGTGGCCTGTCACTATGGCAACGTGAAGATGGTCAATTTCCTGCTGAAGAATCAGGCGAAGGTCAACGCGAAGACCAAGGTAACCATTTAGTGTCTATGTGTAATTATGTCTCTTTTATAAGAGCAGAAGAGATTTAAAATGCACATGGTCAGACCATATATATATGTATATGTATGTATATATATATATATATATATATATATGTATATATATATATATATATATATATATGTATATAATATATATATATACACTGTACGTTACTGATTGTGTCAATCTAACCTTTCTCTCTTTTTCCCTCCTCGGCAGAACGGTTACACACCTCTCCATCAGGCTGCACAGCAGGGACACACACACATCATCAACTTGCTGCTACATCATGGAGCATCGCCCAACGAACTCACATCTGTTAGTACTCACACACACACACACACACACACTCACACACTCATGCTAATACTATATTACTTAAGTTTGATTCTGACATATAACCTTTGTAGATCGTCACCAGTTCTCTTTCTACAAATTCTACCAAATATACTCGTCTCTGCACAGTGAATAAGATGTGAAACAGCTTTGATGATTATTGTTTTGGTGCTGACTCTAGCACTTGATAGTTCTGATTTCCTGATACTGTTTCAAATCAATAACTCGCCTCTGTTATTATTATTGTAATTTTTTTGTCTAGAATGGGAACAGCGCTCTGTCCATCGCTAGGAGGCTCGGCTACATCTCTGTGGTTGACACACTCAAAGTGGTCACAGAGGAAACTCTGACCACTAAGGTGAGAATGTGTTTGCTGAAATGCATAGTTTCCCAAATGCTTCCCTATTGTGAAATACAATTAGAGGCATAGTCGTTTAACACAGTGAACTCCAGCGTCAATTGATTTACTATAAATTCCAAAATAGCAGCGAAGGCCGTGTACAAACCCTCCACTCTGCAGCTGAGTTTCTCTCTTTTAGAGGAGACTATATTTTAGTAGAAACACTGTTATGATATACTAGTTAAATGCAGTCAGTTCTGCTTTACTATTATTTAATTCTAAGCTAAAATGGTGTCAATGATACTCAATACTTCCTGTGACAATGTTTCACATTAAAAGCCTTCCAGTGGCTCAAAGGGAACAATCCCTCTCTGTCCTGCTGGGTTTTTAATGTGAAACATTCTGCAGGAAGAGTTAGTATCTATTTTCATTCAAAAAAAGATGGCAACTGAAAGTGATGAAAGAAAGCGGTGCTAAAAATAGAGAGATTTGTACGGAAGCATTTGTTCATGCTGGTCATTAAGAGACTTTAATTTAAGACTTCTCTGTCACAACTGACTCTTTCTGTGTTGGACAGACGGTGACAGAGAAGCACAAGATGAACGTTCCAGAGACCATGAACGAGGTGCTGGACATGTCCGATGATGAAGGTAAGGGTTCACTTCACACCTTATTGATGTTTGAATTACTTTAAATAAGTTTAAACAGTTCTCCCCATACAACCTGAGCTCAGTCACAAAATCCGGGTGAGACGACCTAAGTCTGTAAAATCCCCGGTTGAGTCATATTTGGCAGAAGCACGTCACAGTGCTGGTCCATTGGTTGCCAAAAATCCCCACTGTTGATATGGAAACAGTTATTTTGTTGTCGTTGAGCAGTAGTTCAGGTCACAAAGCCAACAATTTCTGTTCCATCTTTAACTTCTGTCATTATATTTCATCATTTGACATTTTAGCGACATTGTTCCATATTTTTTGGTTTCCATTTTCTCTCTAACGTTCTCCTCCATCCCAATCACACAGTCTTTAGAGGCAATGTGCCCGAAATGATCACAGAGGACTATATATCTGATGTGGAAGAAGGTATTTTTCATTTTACTTCATTTTATTTTCTTCTTTAAATCTTCGCTTCTTCTTCTTTTCATACCTCTTTCTGTTTGTCCGTCATCTGTTTTCAACATTTACAATCTCTTGTTTCTCTCTGGTGTCAAAATCTAAATGTGCTTTATTTGATGGAAAGTAGTAAAAAATACCGTGATGGAAAAGTGTTCGAGTAAAGGTTCTCCATCTTTGTTATTCAAGTCACAGGTACTGTACGCGCTTCCTTCAGCTGCTGCTTCCCGCTTCGACGCTCTCGTGCTGCGTTGCTGTATGTTCACGCATTGAAACTCAGGGAATATGCCTTTTACTCCTGGTAGCCATGACTACTGTCTGCATATGGCATTGCGGAGTGTGTGTGTGTGACAGATTTCTTTTCACGCTGTGGAGTAGACGGCACACACACACACACACACACACACACTCGAATCCTTTGTCTTCGGAGGGCTTGTCAGTGACGCTTCCATTGTAGTTTCACTCATTCGGGCCAAAAGCAAACACGGTGTCAGCTGCTTGTGTGTGTTTATGCGTGTTTATGCGTGTGTGCGTGTGTGTGCGTGTGTGTGCGTGTGTGTGTGTGTGTGTGTTTACTTTGTGTCTCTCTTTTTCTCTTGGTCTCTAGTGTGACTGAAAAGCGGTTGAACTTGAACTTTACACTCTCTCCAATGAGATTGGGGGAGGGACAAAAAAAACAATTTGAAATTGATATTTTCTGCACAGAAATCTATTTCCTCAATAGTTTACTTTAGAGGTTACATATGAGCCGATATCATGAGATTAAGAGACTGAGGTGTGCCGTAGTTTCTACTGGTCAGAGGCGTCTTCTGCTCCCGTTCTTTATATTCAACACAGTTTCTTGAAATTCCTTCTGGCTTGAATCAGGTCGGCTTCGCTTTACGCTTTAGGAGAAGGCGCATGTCGAAGATCACGTCACAAGTTTCTGCTGGTGCACTGAGCTCATAATTTATGTTAGATTGTAGTTTTTATAGTGGAAATTAGGGTTTGTAATCTGGGTCGGGGCCCAAATCTGCTGCAGTGGCTCAGGCTTTGGGTCGTTGTTGGACAGAAACTATGCAGTGTCAGCAGCAGGGTCGGGCCATATTTCTTCGGGCCCATTCGCAGCTCTAATATATAGATGTGCAGTATTATGTAACATACAGTAGGTCTCTGTATAGAATGGCCTGTGCAGCATGTCGTAAAGTTCTGTCCCAGTAATTCTGGCTCTTGGCTCTGAATATGTTGTGTGTTAATGTTTTCAGTGAACCAGACTTGCAGTCGATGGGGAGAAAGCAGAAAATAACTGAAGTCTCACTAATATGCATTGATGCATGAATATTGTAGATATTCCAAAAGGGTTGGAAAATAATGGTTGAAGGTGTATTTGTGCTTCATTTGAACAGAGATTGATGTTGGAAATATCTGCATCAGCTATTCCTGTAAGTCCAAAAACCCGATGAGGTCGCTGTAACTAACTCCAGTAACCGGTCTGAGGTGGTGCAGCTAAACTAATTATTTTATTTGTATATTAATGTGCATGTTTGCTGAATTTGTGTGCGAGTTGTTGTCTGTTTTTTTTGCTTGTAGAGTCACCATCTTTAATTTCTGATCTAAAAATATAGGATGTGTAACTGTAAGCACACGCACACACACACACACTCATTGGCTCACATACCAGCTAAGTAACAGCAATGATTAACATCTCCAATAACACACACAGTCCACGATCTAAATCAGGACGTCCCACGAAACCCTCTGCAGTCTTTTAGAACCTGTCGTGGTCTCTCCAAAGAGTTTTTTCCAGAGCTGTAAAGTTAATTAACACGTGGTCAGCTTGGGTATAAAATCTGAATCATGAAATAACTGTACTATTTATGAGGCAATAACATATTTACCGCATGCTGGCTGACGTTTGATGTCACTTTTCCACTTGTTCCAATATTTGATCTAGTTTATAGTCATCTCATGTTTCAAGTGTTGCATTTAAGGCGAAGATCACAAACCTGTGGTACGTTGTCATCGTTGGCCCCTCATGCCTGTCTTTGGCTTTGACATTTCATATTCTAAATATAGCACCACTTAAAGAAATAGAAGCAGGACTGTTAATAAGAAGGCAACCTATATTGACATGTCAAATGACAAGCAGACAGATGCAAAAACCCTCTCCTGAGTTATGAATTTCTGCATTCGCCTCTTGAGTTGACAGAAACAGAAAACAGAAGTTGTTAGACAGGTGAGTTGAAACACACGGAAGCTGCTGGAGGTTGTAAGATGCTGAGATCAAGAGGGAAACAAAAACAAGAAGGATGAAGTAAACAGTGAGCATACTGACATAAAGGAATGTGTGCTATTTCGTAGATGGAGAGATAATCAAAGCAGACAGACAGGAAGGAGACAGACAAGTCAATATAAAATGAAAATAAAGCAAAAAGATGACAAAATAAAAGAGTTATGGAGGATGTATGAGTTTAGATGTTGGACAACTTAGCCTGAGTCACACACCCACTTACTATTTCTGTCCTGCAGTGAGCTCTAAGTGTCTGTCCCACACACACACACACACACACACACACTGGATAATCCTGGGTTGGTAGGCGGGAGAAAGCTGATCTGTTTGTGTGAGAGCCGGGCTGTGAAAGAGAGGCAGACAGTGTGTGTGTGTGCAGAAGAGAGAGAGAGAGAGAGACAGAGAGTTGAAGGAAGAGGAAAAGTAAGTTCAGGGTTGCAACTCCTGCAAACTGGACTTCTGGCTGGATGAAGTGCTTTAAAGCAGGAGGTGAGTTGTGGCTCGTTCAGGAGGAGGTTTTGAATGGGTTGGAATGTCGCCAGAATGTCTGTGAAGTGTGTGTGTGTGTGTGTGTGTGTGTGAGGGAGAAAGTTTCAGGGAGTGGGGGGAGGGGTGCTGTAGCAGCAGGGGATAGGGGGGACAGGAGGGTGAGGCGGGGGTCTCCGGTGCTTTGTGGTTCACTGGAATGCTTTCCTTTATCTTTCCCGTTCCTTCGCCTGCATGCACTTGCTCCGCTCTTTAACTCCTCCTCTCCTGCTTTCAACTGTGCACTCAGTGGTGCATCAGTAGGCTACAGGATCTACAGTAACTCTGAGAGGGAACATGCTGCTCTCTGTCTCCCTGGTAGTCCTGGAACGTATGTTTCAAACACTTCTTTTCGTATAGCTTGAATGATTTCTGTGTGTTTGTTGTTTTTTTACATTAATCTGTGGTCAGTTATTATATTGCAACATGAAGCTTTTGAACTGTTGTTATTGCCGTTACTGTTTGCTCACTAAACTAACCTGACAGCAAAAAGTTACTGACATCAGCGCTTTCTGTTGTTTGCAAGCTTTGCTGTTAACATTTGTTTGTCATCTGAGGGAACGGAGACAATAAGCCTTCAGTGACAGCAGAGACTTTTGTTTGTGTTTCGCTTGTTGGACCGGAGCTGAGCTGGAAACCAGCCTCTGGGCAGCAGCTGCATTCATCCTTCTGACTAAAAGAGCAGCACTGTTCTGCATGCACGGCAACAACAAGAATAAGATTTGCATTTATAGAGTTTCCCGCTTTTAAACTGTCACACGATCTCAGATGAAGCAGAGCGCTGCAGGGATGACAGGTTTTTTGCAGGCCGACCCCGGAAGTTAGCATCGCACTGGTTCCCTTTTGGATTTTTGCAGAAAATGATCTCTGTGGCGAACAAACTTTTCTGATACATACACGTTTTGTTCAGCAAGATAATCCTCACAAATAAACACCACTTTTTTTGATTTTTAATGCGTGAATGCAATCAGTAAAAGTAGAAAGCTAACGTTGGGCTATAAAGGAACTCCACCACGGTCAGATGACTTCATGTCACCACCACAAAGATAAAGGAGGACTAGTGTAGTGAGGACGTTTAGTCGTCTCAAATAGCCACCTTTTTTAAGACACGTAAAAGCTTCTAAATTCACCAGTTAACTGACCTATTTTACATCGTAGAACAAACCGTTAAAATCTCTTAAGCTTGTGTTAAACACAGACCTTATTTCAGGCATCTAAAAACAAATTTAAAAAAAACAATTACTTCTAGACGAGGGAACAAAACGATGACTCAATTCTGGGTTTTAGGACTCATTCCTGCAGAACTCTATTGACTTCATTCATTCTCTTTACAATGTCTCACCTTGCGTGTTTCCAACCTTGCAGGTGACGATGCAATGACGGGGGACACGGACAAGTATCTGGCCCCCCAGGACCTGCGGGAGCTGGGGGACGACTCGCTCCCTCAGGAGGGCTACATGGGCTTCAGCGTCGGCGCTCGGTCACAGAGGTGAGACACACTACGACACTAGAACCCCCCCCCCCAGTCGATGATCAATATCATGATTATTTCTGAGTTTGTTTAGGTAAATGAAGCATAGAAGTCGTTAAATAAATGACAGCTGCCACAAACCGAGAGGATTGTTGATGTGTGAAGGCATTTTTAACTGCAAAATTTAAAATAATCCATCTTGACAGTTGTAGAGAAACAGAGAGCCAAAGAGTCCAAAATGGAGGACGCAATTGTAGCTCGTTAGCTGTGTTACATCAACGACTTTTAACCTTTGTTGGAGTTCAACCTGTTCCCCAAAGACATCTGCTTTGAAGACAAGGAGTCGATGGCACAAAAAAATCCACTATATTAACTTATTGTCGGCTGTTATCTCGATAGCCACAGTAGCTCTGCAAGTAGTCGCAACATCACCAAGCTTCTACAACCACATATTTAACAGAGAGGACTTCATGATGTAATCGGGTCTTTAAAACACAGATTGCTGTGGTTGGATTCCTCATTAAAATGGTGGAAAGGAAATCGCTCATGACGCAGTACAACAGGAAATTGCATCTTGTTCAAAAAGAGAGGAAACCTTTTACCAACAGAGCAAAGTGTGATCTTAGACAGGAAGCAACTGTGTTTATGGCATGTGGTATAGAGACTTTAGTGAGGTTTTACGTTATTCGGACCCCCGACACACAGAGTTTTCTCTCCCCACTGGGAGGTCAGAGTTCGCCTTCTGTGGCGTGTTGAACCTTTTTGCTCGCACAGAAATATTGACAGTTGTGCAACCCGCTCGAGAGGGAGGGGTTATTGAATATCTGAGCAGTGACACACACGGACATAGAGCCACAGGAAATTAGAAACATGTTCGATTCCATGGCCTTGAGCCCTGGGTTACATCAACACACACTGTTTGAGTGGGGGTGGGACGTCGCTGTGCGAGTGTGTGAATTGGTTTAACAGATTTGCTGGTCCGCTGTAGCAATGGGCTCAAATCACTTCCAGTTCAGTCAATGTAGGAAGTGAATTATCTACAAAAATCACTACGAGTGAGTTGAAAGAAAGTTGTAGTTGTGTCGTGTTTGTCACTTTAAAGCTGCAATAATCAACATTTTAATGCTAACAATAGATCAAAAGACTTTGTGTAATGTGAAAAGAGTTGCTCATAGTGACAAACCCACAGAGATGTATCACCCGACTCTGCAGTTCCCCTTTTTCTTTGCATCTTTGAGCTCATTGTTTTGGTTTTAAGTCGTGCAACTTTACTGTTTTGTTTCAATCTCATATTTACCTTTTTCAGTTAAAAAACACTCACTGTGCTCAGTACCCAACTGCAGGCAGACAAGGTGGTGTTCATACAGTACAGTAGTATAATTCAGGAGTTGGTGGAGACCAAAAACAGAGCTTAAAAGAGAGTAAATATTGGACTAACATTCACACTTGTACCCATGAATTTTTAGTGAATAAACCAGATGTTTTTTTAATGTCCGTCATTTGTTATGATGATTAAACCAAGACTTTCATAGTCACCCAGCCTTGAAAGTGCCAAATGCATCTGGAACCCTGGACTCCTGAAATAACTCCTCCCTCCTCACAACTCTGTAATGAATATTTTTAGGCTCATTAGTTATAAATTGTGCATGTTTCAGTCAGACAGCGAGCAGTGAGGATGGCAGGCCGGGCGACAGGGAGTCAGTGAGACAGACAGACAGTCAGTCAGTGAGACACCTGGCATGATTCTATCAGCCTGTTGTCCTCTCTGCATCTCTCTCCCTCCTGTGTTCATGATCTTTTATTCTCTCCTCGTGTCCGTTCTTAATGTTAGTCCCAAAGTCAGGTAAGGCTGAAGGCATGAAGAGGCCCCTCCCCCTTTCACCCCCCACTCACCACATCTCACCCCCCTCCCTGCCCTGACACCCCCAGACTCTCTACTCTGTGGTCTGATGTAATACATATTTACCGTGTATGTTTGACTACTAACTCGATGATTTTGACCAATTTTTGTTTATGTTTTTTAACACTGCTGACATCAGGCGCTGTGTTCTGTCCTGTGGTTCACTCGTGTGATCATTTTGTCTTAAAACAGTTCTGCTGTGTTCCCCGCTTCAGAGAACAGCCTGTTGTGTTTTCTGCTTTGGTGTTTGACTGTGGCTCTCGTATCATTAATGCCGGGGTCTTTGTGGTTTAGCCACAAAGGTGGAGCTTTGCATCATTTTGGTTTTCTGTGTGGAGTTTTCCTTCATCGAGCTTCCAGGGACCTGAACTGATATTTATCTGTAGGCAATAGCTATTGCCTTCATCAGTTTAGTGTCATGCAATGCACAGTGCAGAGTAATCTCACTGTATGCTGTCTTCACAAAGTTATGTACATTTCAAACAAAAATGTACATTAAAACGCACATTAAAACTGCTTAAATTATATATATTTTTAAGAACTTACTATTTATTTTGAAAGGAACAACAAGAAGTTCATCAGACCAGATGTAATTTTATGTTTTAGTGTCATAAATTAATTACATGTTGTGCTATTTTGTGCCACTAACTCATTTTATTAATTTTTTATATATATATATTTTTGCATTTAATGGAACTTTTACAGAAAATAAAAAACAATCAATTGTCCAATCACAGTTTGGGGGAGGGGCCAGTTTGTCATAGCTGACACAAGCTGGTGGCGGCTGATGTTTTTTATTTAGGCATTTTAAAGCTTCCATAATAATGATACAAATCATTTTGTGTGGGATTATTATCTCATTATCTCAAAAACACAACCTTTTCTTTGTTTTCTCGAGACAATAACCCTGTTACTTTATCATAGTGAAATACTTCTGCAATCTTCAGATAACAGGAATTTTAAAAATATGAATTTTAACCAGGGCCTTTTTCTGCTTCCATAGCTTCGTCATCTCACAGTCAGAGTTGTGTGTTTTCCATGTTTAGCTCCAGAGCAGCTCCTCACAGGCTAATTGGTTCACATGTTTTTTTGTTGGTTTACTTGTTTGGAGCAAATAGCGCTGTTGTAATTGCGCTTGAGACGTTGCAGGCAAACATTTCATCACAAGTCATTGCTCAGGAATGCTCTTTATTTGCCTCATAAAAGTCTCTCTGAAACAAACAAACATCACGTTTTACCGCCACTGACAACTTATCAGGAACGAAATGTTCTTACAGCTAATTATCTGCAATTGTTTTCATCACGACGGCCAAACCCAGCTTCCTGTCCTGTTGCTGTGTCCACTGTCCATCATATAGAAGTCTGCTTCATAAGCTTCATGAGGCTTTTAGGGCTTTTGAATTGTGTGCTGGCATTGTGTGAAAAGTCCAGTCGCTAAAAAGAGGCTAAAAAAGGTGTAGACACTGTAGTTATCGTTTTTTGCACATTCACCATCCAAGAGGTATCAGCAAGCACTAATGACCGCATTTGCATCTGGATTTCTGCAGAGTTTAGATTGATGTTTTGTTTCTGCTGCCTCAGACACATTCGTATCCTTTGCACGCCGATCACTTCTTCCAATCTCTGGGTTTTGTTTTGGAAACACTTGAATTCGCTCTTCAGGAGCGTTCTTTCTTTTCCTTGTGGTTGTTGTTGTCACTGGTGGCATTCAGTCAGGTTCCTGGAAGCTGCATGCATTTAATGTGTTTATGTTTTGTTTTTTCTGTTCACTTTCACACCCCCCCTTACACCCACCCCTCCTCCTCCTCCTCCTCACCTTCCCCTCTCTATCATTGTGACTGTTGTCTTGGTAATCCGTGACTTCTACGGCAACCACACCAAGCCTGCGTTCCTTCAGTTCTGATAGGTCCAACACGCTGAACCGGAGCTCGTTCACACGGGACAGCATGATGATAGAGGAGATGCTGGCCCCCAATAAGGAGATGGTACGTACTAGGTGTCTTTGTCTTACTTTGTCCCTCTTGCTGTATTTCTGTCTCTCTCCGTCAGTGATCCACAGGTTATTGACTTCATGAAAGAGACACAGTTCTGTCTCCAAATGTGCCAAAAATCAGGCTACGAAACAATCCCCTACACCTGAGATGGTGTTGACATAAAGACGACCAATCCCGTTACCTTTTACTGAAAGAGGAACTGAGACTAGTTCTGCTGTCTAAGAGGGATTATTGTCACGGCCCACTTTTTATTAAGACTGCAGCAAAAATGTCTCAATTGGTGAGAGTGGGCTGAGTAAATTAAGCTTAATATGTAAAATCTGTGGCGTGCCCCTTTAAGCTCGACCACAAACGCCTCTGAGAAATGAATATTGTGAACAACAATACGACGGAGAACTTTAAACCCCTTTGTCAGGAGGAGTCTGCTATTTTGTTTGAAGAGTGCTTGATGAGTATAAGATCTGTGAATGTAACATCTGCTAAACAACAACTGGTCTCCTCTCATGCTGCTCCAGATGCTCTGTAAGGAAAGGTCTTTCATTGTAGAGAAACACAATAAGGTAGACGTTCAAGTGCATGTGAGAATATGTCATTCAGTATTTTCATTTGTTATGTGTGGTATAATATTATTTTTCTGTTCAGTCATTTTCAGGTGTTTCCATATCTTACAGCATGTATATCTTTATCATTTTCTCTTCATTGTTATAAAGTGGACTGATCCATTTGTGTTGGTTACATTATGTGATTGCATCTATTCACTGTGTACATCTGATGTTGGCTTCTGTGTTTGTAACCATCCGTAAAACAGTTTATTTTTCACTTAAAAAAACGACAATTCAGTTTATTTTCTCCTTTTCTTTCCACAAATACACTGAATTAAATGCTGGTGTCTGAATGAAATATTTATATCTAAAGATTTGATGTTTTTATAATGACAGCTGCCGTAGTCGCCCATGTGTAGAAACGAGTTTATGACTCAGCCATAAATCCTGCAGGTTTTAGCCTCCCAGTAGTGAGGCCATCCGTCCTCAGAGGAGGCGTCATCTTGATGTGTCATAGCTCACTGCTGGCACTTCAAGACAAACATGGCAACCCCTTAGAGCAGATTTATGTGGTGGTACTTGTCTGTCCTCATTTTGGATGAATTTACATAAATTTGAGCCATCTTTTTATTGACAGATTTTAGAAGGTTTTCTTGTCAGAGATACGATTTCTACGAGACACAAATGTTCATCAACACAGGCTGCATTTTCTTCATTGTTTCTCTTTTCTTTGGTTATTTAACTGCATGGCTCCATGATAAAAGCTGTGAATGTGTCTTATTTGGTGTTTTTTTTATCAAACGCCCATACAGATATTATTTCTCTCCTTTCCTCTTGTGCACAATGACCTTGTTGTCTCCTCCTCAGCATTTGGCGGTGGCTAAGGACTTTGACAACGACTCTCTGAGGAGATACAGCTGGACTGCAGACGCACTGGATAATGTCAACCTAGTCGCCTCTCCGATACACTCTGGGTAAGCACAGACCGATGGATGAGGAAGGACACAAGACACACGTGCTTGTCTTTGTTCCCACCTGATATTTATCGCCTGTCTGTATTCCCTTCTCATTTTCTTTCCCCCCTTTGAGAAAACGGCTCCTACCTGCAGCGGTTTCTCTTCACCTTCTCTGATTGTTTGTTCTTGATTGTAAAACAAATGTGTTAGCAAAAGTTACACTTCCTTCATTTCTGTATATAGTACTGTATAATAACACGGTACCACAAAACACAGAGACTTCTTTAAGAAACTGCTGGAGAGAGATGAGACTCTAGTTTCTTTCTCTGTTTAACCAAATCTAAAATCACCTGATTCTGCAGGTTCAGGTAAATCATTGACCTCCACATGTGACTCACCGAACTGCGGAAATGAAGGAGCTGTAATTTAAAGCAAAAGTTTAACATTGTCGGAAATACGCTAATTCGCATTCTGGCGGACAGTTGGATAAGAAGACTGATACCGTGTCTGTCCGGTAAATAATATGAAGAAAAACAGGCAGGAGATGGTTAGCTTAGCTTAGCTTAGCACGAATACTGGAAAAGGGTGGAAACAGCTGGCCTTGTTCAGATCCGCCTACCGACACTTATATAAAATACCTCCGCTGACTTCCATACTTGTTGATTTGTATAAAAAGGTTATATACATAGACTTTTACAGATAAATAGTTAACTTCCTCAACAGATTTCACGATCATCAGATGGAGTTATTACTAGTTAAGCTTTTGAATTCAAGCTAAAATCATGTGGTCACACCATAGTCCGCTTGGCAGTGAACCGGCACCCCAAATCTTTGGTTCGGTTGTACCGATTGACAGCTTTGGGTTTGATTGACGGCTTTCACACCGGCCCAAACAAGCCGCATTAACTGGGCTAACGGCCCTGAGTTTGTTTTAACCAAACCAAACCGGTTAGTTGGGAAACCATCCTAACTCTCCGCCAGAAAGCGAATGAGCGCATCTCCCGAAAATGTCGAGCTATTCCTTTAAAGGGCTCCTTGGTGATCGTCTCCTCGGTGGTTTTTCCAATGACAAAGCTCTGTTGTTGACCTGTCGCTCCTGCGTTGCTTTGTCGTCCATCCTGCAGTTTTTCCTCTCCGCTCCCGCAGTACGACAGCAGGTGATTGACTGTGATTGGTCGCCCTCTTTTGTCACCACCACTACCTTGTTTTGTTGCCTTCACCCTCCCCTCTGTGTTCACCTCATAACATCTGTCTTTGCTCTCCTCACACATGAACTGTGTTGTTACAGATCTGGATTTTTGTGGAAATCTTTGCGAGTTTCTTAACTGATCTGAATGAGTTTGTGGTACAATAAACCTAAACGTGACTCTGTGCAGCTGGATCTGAATGTTTTTTTAAATTATTGCAACCACAGATAACATGTGTGTAAGTTCATGTATTTCAAAGTCTGTGAGTGAATCTTTACATTTGCTTAAGACTTAATCCTGCTTTTCAAAGGATTAGTTTATGCAAAATGACATACCATTTGTTCAAAAGCATTTATACTAACATGACATCTTGTTCACCAAATTGCATGGTTTGAATCTGTGTGTGTGTGTGTGTGTGTGTGTGTGTGTGTGTGTGTGTGATGTGATTTCCTTCTTTGATTCACACACAGGGCTACAATACCTTCTAATATGGATAAAACACAGGTTACACTGGAGGCTCCTGTGTTGGCGTCTTGGCTAATTCATCCACAGAAAATAATATCCACTAAAGAATATTCATTTTTTACAACATTGTGACATTTACTTGAGCAAGTTGGTGTTTTTCTAATAGTGAACATCACTTTTTTTCCAATGCGCAGCCATAGCCAACACAGAAAACTCTTCACATTTCTTTATCTCTCTTCTCTTTTGCTCACACTTACTTACTTCGTGTGTTTTGAGGATCAAAGCATGAGAAGGGAGTTCACCTCAACTCGCGCCTCTCTCTCCATCAATACGGCTGTTGAATTAATGTGTTTTTTACTTCTCGTTCCATTCCTTATTTTCTCCCAACATGCTTCTCTCTCTCTCTCTCTCTGCACTCTCTGCTATCACTCTTTGTCTCTTTCCTCCTCTCCTCCTTTTTTTCTCGTTTGGTCAGGTTCCTGGTCAGCTTCATGGTCGACGCCAGGGGCGGCTCCATGAGAGGAAGTCGTCACAACGGCATGCGCATCATCATCCCGCCCAGGAAGTGCACAGCGCCCACCAGGATCACCTGTCGACTGGTCAAGAGGCACAAACTGGCGTCGCCTCCCCCGATGGTGGAAGGAGAAGGCCTGGCCAGCCGACTGGTTGAGGTTGGTCCGGCGGGAGCTCAGTTCCTCGGGTAAGACTTGATGTTGTCTTCAAACGTCATCGAAATTGTTGCTGTTTGCTTAATCGCTTATGTTCCTGCACTTGAGTTGGGTGACTTGACATCTCCTTCCTTCTGCTTCTTGCCATCCACCATCTCCAGCCATTTGCGTTGATATTATGAAAGTGTGAATCGAGTGTATGAGCATGTTTAGGTGGAATACCTGCTGTTTAATTTGCCGTTGTAAGTGTAATCGTTACAGTGTGCTCGCCCTCAAGCATCGAGTCCAGCTTTGACAAAGTAAAGGCAACATCACTAACAGATGTAAAAGTGGAAATTGTGGAAAAAAGAAGTAAATATGTGCACATATTTCAGTTTTATATACATTAAAACTGTGGCAGGAAGTGTGTCAACGCCAATGGGAATTATAAATTTGGCTCAACTGAATGGAAAGGCTTTTGATTGCCTGTTTAATGTATTTAATTACAGCGTAACTAACATAACAAAATACAGCTTATATGTCTGCATCTTTGATAAAGAGGGTTCTGAATACTTCCACTGCTTATTACTTATTATAACCAGTTAGCAATTAGATTCTCCATCATTAGATGCAATCAATACGCCGTGTGTGTATTTACCAACCAGAAACGGATAGTGTGAGTGAGTAGCTGCCGATGCTGATGTCATTGATGAGTACTGGACAGAAGACACGGGAATCTTGTTACTGGTGCACCTCGGTGAAGCTGCTTTCACTGACTTTGCAAGTGTGTGTTCTGTGTATGTACCTGGGTGTGTGCGTGGGTGTTTCATTATCTTGCGGACACAGTAAACTACATCTTCCCAGAAAGCTGCCAGCCCTTAATGAAGGCGAGAGCCTGGTTAGTCCAGTGCTACAGCTGGGACCCAGAGGAACTAGATTTGTTGGGTAGGAACCAAACATAGCATCCCCCCCCCCCCTCCCCCTCCCTGCTCCTCTCCCTCCTGTACGTCCCGCCTCCCTTGAGGGAAACGACACGACCGAGGCTGATTCATGCTGATGGATATGATTATTTTACCCATCTCTGTTGATTTGTCAGGAAACAGCCATGTAGTTTTGGGAAGAAATCAATGACGTTGTGACCATTTTGAAAGGAGGACAACTAGTTTTTTCTTGTGTTAAAAGTTAGTTGGATGATGGGTCCACCACAGAAAAGAAGATTTTTAGCCTCAATAACATCCCGGGAAGAATACAGCTTTTACATTTGAGATATAACTAATTCTTCCTAAAACTACACAGTATAACTTTCCAGCCACTTTCATTTAGAGACCATGGAATTTTTTATATTTATTTCAGAAGCTTTCAGTGGGCCTCTGATGTCACTGAAAGTAAAGGTTTCGATTGGCTGTTCGGACCGGACTGCGCTTGTTGGGCATGAGCCTTTTTTCCTCCTCAAGCCGAGCATCATCCTGCTTCTCATGACCGCTGTTATTTTCACTTCATCTTTTCTACTGATCCATACTGTGAAACTTAGAAGGGTTGTTTAGTTACGCAGTAAATACACCGTGCTTCAGTGGACATGAGGCCTTTTGTGATTTGTCAACGTAGAATCTTGATCTTATTGACTGTTTGTCAAAATAACATTTCTCCTCTCCTGGTACTTTAAGTATTTCTTCATAAAAATGTAACTTTGCTATTGTGACTGTTTCAAGCACCTTTAAAAATGTATATACTCATCAGACGTCAATGTTGTTGTCATTCTCTTGGAGGTGGCCAGGCCAAATAAAACCGCCCTTATAAAATAGAGATAAATAACTAACTAAATAATAACTAAAATAATATATTTTAAAAAGTAACTATATTTTCATAGACGAATGCAGCCGGCTGATTTAACCGCTATGTGTTGTGCTCTCAAGCGCCGAGTGGAGGACAAGCACATTATTGTGAGAGTGGAGGCCGAGTTTGGGTTTTTCACGCTCGGCAGTCGCCCTCCCGGACACGTGAAGGTATTTTTAGTAATTATGTAATTTAATCCCAAAACACTTGTGTGAAATTGGTCATGACACTGGGTTTGAAAACAAAAAACAACATTGATGTATAACAACACAGCAATGGCTGATCTACTTCTACTTACAACCTGGGTTCATCTTTAACTTTATCAGAGAATAATAGTGTGGTCATGCAGGACTTGATCTCTCAGAGTAAGAAGCTGACTCAGAAAATAGTACTTTTAAGATTTTGATCAATGAATATAGTTCCTCTCCGTCTGTCCTTCTGTGCTCTCTACTCGTATGTAAAATCGGTCCTCAGACTAGAGTACGTTCATCCCCCTCTCTTGTGTTCATCACGCCTTGTTTGACAAAGGGCTGTGCAGCTTTCGCCCCTCACTCCTCATTCCGTTTCATGTGTTTCCTGTCACATCATGCCAAGCGATCACACGCACTGTGAATGTCCCATCGAACTGCAGCACGTCCACGGCTATGTCATTATGAAGCGACACTGTCATCAGCAGAACCAGAGTTCATTCATACCTGGACAGTATGTTTCTGACACCGATGTCCTTCAGCACTCCTTGTTTGTATTTGTCTTTATTTGTAGAATTAGTAAACTGAATAAATGTCACCTTAATGATATGTAATCTATGATTTGTATTTCAGATTTTAGTTTGCATTGGTTTTGCCCAAAATTACAACTATCATTGTACTCAGAAAGAAGTAAACCTCTATTTTCTTGGTTTACCCGTTACCTGCCATTTCAGTCTTAAATGTATATAATTAATGAAGCCATACTTCATGTACCTTACCAGGCCCGTGATAGTGGAGATCCCTCATTTTGGCTCGATGCGGGGCCAAGAGAGGGAGCTGATCCTGCTGCGCAGCGAGAACGGAGAAACCTGGAAGGAGCATCTGTACGACTACAAGGCCGACAACCTCAATCAGCTTCTCAGTGGGATGGATGAAGGTAAAGCACGTGTTTATTTGTATGTTTAAATTTAAATAATACAGGCCTAGAAGTGTTTTTAAAGCCCCTACATGTAGTTCATATATGGTTAAAGTATCGAATAAGTTATTCTGACAGCATAGGTTTTTGTTTGTAGAAATGTTAGACTGTCCCGGGGTAAACTGCCACAGTTCGGTGTTGCTTTCAGCCCTTCATAGCTGCATCTTGCGTTTAGGACCAATAAGGATGTATTATAATTGGTAATATTGCAAAGCAAGTTTTTTTTTATCTAGCACATTTCAGCAACAAAGTGCTTTACATAAAACATCAAACGCATTGTGACGAAATGCAAGAAACACGCAAAGAAAGTCATTAAAGAGAACAGAAAATGAAAACAAGCAAAGATAGAACTAGACAGGAATAAAGTACCAGACTACAAAATGCAGTGCAGTGTGAGAAAATAATAATTATTTGATTTAGTAGAAGACAGCAGCTAACAGAAATGTCTGAGGATTGCACTAGTTAACACAAATTATTTCATAGAAGACATTAAATAAAAGTATTATGCATGTTTTTAAAGAATGCATGTTCGGTAATTACAAGACTAGGAATTAAAGCAAGTCAAACAAGGATAATTAACATACCTGGTGTCAGTTGTACTACATACTGAGCTGTGTCTGTAGCTTTGGAAAATAAATGATTTATAATTTACGTGTGATTTATGTAAGTTATGTATTTTCCTTCTCGTAGAACTGGACAGTCCCGAGGAGCTGGAGAGGAAGAGAATCTGCCGCATCATCACCAAGGACTTCCCACAGTACTTTGCTGTCGTGTCTCGAATCAGGCAGGAGACCAATCAGATGGGACCAGAGGGCGGGACTCTGTGCAGCCGGAGCGTCCCATTGGTTGAAGCTTCCTTCCCCGAGGGTGCGTTAACCAAGAAGATCAAAGTCGGACTGCAGGTGAGTTGAGGATTGTGACCACAGTGGCAGAAGCTGATAACAATCGACACAAATGTACATGTATGTACGTAAACCTACGCACACTATAATCACTGTTCCCTGATCACCGTCTCCCAGGCCCAGCCGGTACCGGACGACACTGTGAAGAAAATCCTCGGGAACCGAGCAACCTTCAGCCCCATCGTTACCGTGGAGCCCAGAAGAAGGAAGTTCCACAAGCCCATCACCATGACAATCCCAATCCCGCCTCTCTCAGGGGAGGGGCTCAGCAACGGCTACAAAGGAGACTGTACTCCTTGTCTCCGCCTTCTCTGTAGCATTACAGGTGTGTGTGTGTGTGTGTGTGTGTGTGTGTGTGTGTGTGTGTGATGGTACCTGTACAGCTATCTTTGTGAGGATCAATTAATTATTTAAATAACTACGTAAATGCAGTTACTTAACTACGGAAGTGACATTACAAATAAGTCAACGTTGACTTCTAGTTTCACAAACAGCTGTCTCCTGGATGAAAGTCCTGTGTTTCCTGGGTTTTTGCAACTCATTGATAATCTTTACTGTTATATTTTATTTTATTTGCACTCTTTATATCGGCAGTCTTTCCTCCTTTTACTGCAACTGCTGCACAACAACTTCCCTCAGGATAAATCAAGTTTAGCTTAACACTTTTGTCAAGTGTGTCTCCTTTATAATGTCGCTCCATGTTCCCTGTACATTATTTGTAGAAAAATGAATCATATTAATATACAACTCTCTATTTGTCTACCAGGTGGTACGTCACCGGCACAGTGGGAAGACATCACTGGCACGACTCCTCTCACCTTCGTCAACGACTGCGTCTCCTTCACCACTAATGTCTCTGCCAGGTGAGACACAAGACATGCTTATTGTGTTACACCGTGGCTATTCTGATCTGTTTTCTATCTGTCTGAAATGTTCATCATTATATCGATAATCTATGCAGGTTCTGGTTAGCAGACTGCCACCAGATCCCAGAGACGGTGGGTCTAGCCATGCAGCTGTACAGGGAGCTCATCTGCGTTCCCTACATGGCCAAGTTTGTGGTGTTCGCTAAGACGAACGACCCAGTGGAGTCCAGACTGAGGTGCTTCTGTATGACGGATGACAAGGTGGACAAGACCCTGGAGCAGCAGGAGAACTTCGAGGAGGTGGCCAGGAGCAAAGACATAGAGGTACATAAATATTGGTTATTATATTTTCTTGTTCCTGGTTCAGTTTTGAAGCGTAATCCCAAATTGATTTGTAACCAAGCCCCTTTTAGGGCAGTAATGGGTTATCACATCCATCAATCCATTATCCGTAACCACTTATCCTGTTCAGGGTCGGGGGGGGGGGGGGGGGGGGAGCCGATCCCAGCTGACATTGGTTCAACCTCAACAGTTCGCCAGACTATCGCAGGGCTGTCATTTAGAGACAGACAACCATTCATGCGCACATTCACACCCACGGGCAATTTAGAGTCCTAAATTAACCTCAGCTGCATGTCTTTGGAGCGTGGGAGGAAGCCGGAGAAGCGTGGGAGGAAGCCGGAGAAGCGTGGGAGGAAGCCGGAGAAACCGAGGGAACTCACGCTGACACGGGGAGAACATGCAATGTCCACACAGAAGGACTTTGCATGTGAATCGAACCAGCGTCCCCAGTACTTACATTTTACTTTTTACTTACATAACTTGAGTGCAAATGCTTACTATCTTCCGTGTGAAAGCTATTATTATTAAGTTATATTATGCTGTTTCGTGTGAAACGTATATGTGCACAGAGTTCTTGTCCATCGATTATGTGAACTAAATTAAGTTTAATCTAACTAGCAGATCGAAAACTGGATGTAAAACAATCTTTTGTCAAAAGCCTTTCGGGTTGTTTTTCTTCTTGTTTTTTCAGGTCACTTGCACAGAAAGGGAGTCACTTATGAATATGTTTTGAATTTAAAACATGTGTTTTAATGTGCTAAGCTGTTTAATACAAGTGCTTTAAAGTAATTGCAGCAGTACATGAAGCGTAGTTCATAAATCAGTAACATTACCATAAAGGCAACAGTAAAGAGTGTAAACTCCTGCAACTGTAGAATTATCATATAAAGAAAAGAGCTGAGAAAAGAAACAGGAAGCTTAAAGATGTGTAACTATTAAGTGCTGTTGAGGATTACGAGCAGCTGTGGCGCTACGTCCAGACCTCATCGTGAGTTCTTACCTCTGTGATGTGCTCTCTCAGGTTCTGGAGGGCAGGCCCATCTATGTGGACTGCTACGGAAACTTGGCTCCTCTGACTAAAGGTGGTCAGCAGTTGATTCTCAACTTCTACGCCTTCAAGGAGAACCGTCTGCCCTTCTGCGTCAAGGTACTGCATTCACTCTTATCATCACTATTGCCTTCAACAACCTCTTTCTCAGGCTGGAATATGGAGTTGGAAGATCTATAAATCATCATGACAAAAATAACTTGTTGAAAGTTACTGGAAGCTGGCAGCCTTGTATATCCTGCCACTGACAACGACCTCAACCACAAAATCACCCAAAACCACAACAAACACATTAAAATACATTTCTATCACCCTAATATCAATCGTCGGCATGATCTCTATTTGCGCTACACATTACAATCACAGTCACAGAAAGCCTGAACAGGAGATTGAACTACACTAACACCCCTCTACTTATTACTACATGGTATTTCCCGGAACTTTAAATTCGTGCTCAGGTACCCTTTGGAGTCTATTAGCCCGAACACCCTGCAGAGGAGACCCAACAGAGGCAAGTGACTTGACCTCAAACATTACACGTTATCTTACTGCACAATCAAGCAACAGCTAACACTACCCTCCACCACGATGAGCACATTATGTGGAGAGAACACCCACTAGCCAAACTAAGTGTATGTTTGTCTCTGCAGGCCCAGCCTCCAATCAATTCTATCTGAGGCAGCTTCAGCCTCCACCAGAAACCAATCATCAATACATTTCAATAAAACATGCAACCCTTTCGAGTGTGTGTCTGATTTCTTTAAGCAGTCCTGTATACAAAGTACTACAAATACTAGTAATGGAGAGGGCCTTTTAAGACAGAATGCTGGAGAAAACAATGTTGTTGCTGTTAAATTCCTGCACTAACCCATCATTGTTTTATTCCCCTTCGCTGCCTCACTCTTACCCAGTGATCCCAGTCCACAGGGTCTAACCTAGTTCCCACTGCCACCAATGAATGACCTGAAGTCATTGATCGACCCATTAATCTCATGTTCTACATAATCAATCCTCTTGCATCCTTTGGTGAGAAGTATTCTTGCTGCTCGTGAACTAGATTAATGGTTGCAGGGCACCACGTGCGCAACATTACGTAGAAATGGGGCTTTTCTAACAGTCTATTCTACAAATGCTCAATTAGCTAAACGCTTCTGTAGATAATATGTGAGAACAAAGTCGAAGAAATAAGAAAATACTTTTGTCCAGCCCTAATGGTAAAACAGTAATACTCAAGTGTACGGTGTACTCATTGCAGTACACCAGCAGTGTACATCACCACCACCTCTATACTGGAACAAGGTACATAAAGAAGCAATGTTCTCTCTCTAGGTGAGAGATCCCAGCCAGGAGCCCTGCGGTCGTCTTACGTTCCTCAAGGAGTGTAAGACCATAAAAGGCCTTCCCCAAACCGCCGTGTGCAACCTGAACATCACACTTCCTGCAGTGAAGAAGGTACAGTGGCATCAACTCACCATTCTTTGTTTTCACCTCCATAACCATACTCATGGTTAGGATACTTTCGACCAACAAATAACACGGATAAATGAAAGACGGAGAAAGACTTTGACCAAACTGCCGCCACTGTGTCTTTTATCTGTTTTAAAGCTTCTCTCTATGTTAATCGGTTAGCTTTGCAGTGGATTCTTGTCATTGGCTGTTTCATATTGTTCCTTCCTACCATTTGATTTGGATGACATGCTTTTGGCTGAGGGCTTTTGTGCAAAAGGCTTTTTCTTGATTATCAGGCTGGCTTTTTGTGGCTTGAACTCATTTTGCTGTTTTTGCTGCTGAGTGTTGGCGCTTTACAGTTTTTTTTGGTGTGTGTTTAGTGTTTGTGTGTTTTTTTTGTTTGCTAAAGTGGCTTCTTGTCTGAGTTGGGGCTCCAATCAAATCACTCCTTTTTCACACCCTGATGTTTCTTTTCCCCCTGCTTTCCATTATGTTACTCCCCCTGTTTCTGCAATGCATCTTGGGAACCAGGAAATGGAGTCAGATGCCGAGAATGAGGTAAACCACACCCTCCCTACCATTTGCTCTCCGCTGCGCTAGATCTATAGCGGGCTGTGCTTCATCATAGCATTATTCTTTCCGCTTCTACAAGGACAATACGAGCTTTCCTTGTTCAGAGCAACCTTTAGCTGCTCAGTTTTGCATGCTATAATGTAGATATGAACAACAATTTATCTTATGTCCCATCCTTACCCTTTCCACTCTACAGTTTGTGATACAAGTGGCTTTTTTATTTTTTAACTTACATTGTCCTTAAGTTAAGATCTAACCTTTAGTAACAGTGTCTTAAAACTGACTATTTTCTCTTAAGTACTTATAATTTAGAGTTTGTGGCCTTATCATGGCTAACTTAAGCTAATTTGGCTAGCTTGGCATTGTAACACTTATTTTAATAGTACAGTCAGTACTTACAAAAAAAAAGAATATTGAAGTGCAGTGAAAACTATTAAAGGAGAATTTGCTGCTGTATTAGGCAACTGTTAAATATGGGCTTTGTTTTTTATGTTAATACCAACTAATGCAGACTTGGGTTTGCTTTAATTTGACATTTATGATGTCCAAATGTTGGTCATTTGGCCGCATCACACAATGTAGGGTGACTTAGAACTAATAGGTTCTTGTGTTGTTTGCTATTGTTGCAGACTGAAAAGCCAGAACGACGTCATACCTTTGCATCCCTAGCCTTACGTAAGCGCTACAGCTATCTGGCCGAGCCTGCACTGAGTGAGTTTTGACATTTTCACTAACAAATTAATGAATATGATAATGCCAGTTTTCGTGGATAAGTTAGTTTATTAACCATTTTAATCAACCTGTAAAATGCGTGATCGATATGTCGATAGATGTGACTTACTTAATGTAATATATGCATATTTCTCATCCTACATAACATGCACTGTCCACATGCTTGTTTACAACATGGTACATATTTTTGCATGGGTCAATGAGTGGCTTTTGTGCTGTGCTTGCCCACGTTGTGAGTTGTACTTCTTCTGGGTTTGTTTGGTTGATTTGCACTGCTGAGTTTTATAAGTCCAATTGCAGCAACATCACACATTTTCTTTGACTTACCAACACGATGTTATTGGCATTTGGGAGGGAGGTCAAAGTAAAATTGTGTTTTTTCCCATTTGTCCCCTCTGAGTTTAAAGCTCTTTTTGGCTTTGTGATGATGTAGCAGCTTTTTGTGGGACAAAAATGCATGTTAGGAGGTCTTGAGTTTGGCTTTCTTTTGGGTGTTTGTTTTCAGTTGTTCACACTTTGTGCTTGTCACCAGTTCATATTGATCTTGCATGGCAAAATGGGCCCAAACTTCAGTCTTGGAAAACACATTTTGTCATATTTTGTTTTTATATAATAAAAGGAAAATGGAAACTTTTGCAGCCGTTGGCTTTGTTGTATCATAGTGTCTAAATTGTCTTTGGGGAATCTATCATTAAGTAATTTTTGGACCAAACAGATAAAAGGCACTTCAAAAAGCGGATTGAAATTAGAGCCAGAATCCATACGCTGATTTTAGAACATCTGAAGTCCAAAGAAAAAAGTTGTTTTTGTGTTGATCCTGGTGCATTTGTCCTACCATTCTTCTGTTGTCAATTGTTAGTCATTGTCTTTTGAATTATACTTTGCTGCTGTATGTGCTTTGTTCAGTTTATTCATTACGTTGTTGTTGTCGTTTGAGTCATGTTCCGATCCTGAATCATACAGGAACACCACCGTTTCTTTACATAACTCCATCTTCAATTAATACTCGTATATCAGCACTTCATAAAACTGCTATTTTTCCTTCCTTGATACCAGGAATGCGTCACTGACAAACTCTTCCTCCTCTGATCCCTTTTTTTCACATTTTGTATTCCTTTTCCTTCCCCAACATAATTTTTTTGTTATCTTTACTATTCCACCTTCTTTTTTATTATTTTTACCATCCTTTATTATTATTTTTACAAATTCATCTGAAGAAACCGCAGTTGAGCGAAGCACAACAGCAAGAACACTGCCTGCTGGTTACCCTCACAAACCTGTCTTTCCAACCCGACCTTTCCCACCATGGTCGACTGCTCCTATTACCGTCCCTGGTCAAACAAGGCCCGTCGGAGTGGGGGGTTCCCTCACCTCTACCGATTCACCGGCAGGCTCACCAGCTGCTTCTCCATTGAAAACTTCCTGGCCCCTCTCCTCCCCATCACCTGCATGCGCTGCAACAATCAAAGGCACCTTGAATTCATCCCCAGTTAAATCAGTTATCGACTCAATATCTTCATCCCCCATCAGGTCTTACAGGACTATGCCCTCACCCATTAAGACCGTTGTCCAGCTGGGTCAGTACCCTGTCCAGGGGTCTGCCAGCCTTGTGTGCTCTGGAAGCCCATATAAACCTGCCACAGATCCAGCATCAATCAAAAACCTTGCTTCAGCATACACATCAAGGACTTCCCCACTTCACTCGATACCCAATGGGTCTGTACCAGACAGGCCATCCGTCTCTATTACTGCTCCAGCATCGCCAAAGGGTTTTTATAAAACCCTTGGGTCCACAATTGCGTCAGATGCAGGCGCACTTAACCTTTCTTCTGTTAAAAGCATCTCCAACATTTCCTCTTTGAAAACCTCTGTAGATTCAACACACTCATCCAGAGGAGGGAGGTCGTCGCTCTCCTCAAATGGACAGACAACCATTGCTTCCTCAGAATTATCGATGATGAACGGATCAGTCTCTCCTGTAAAATACCCATCCTCCTCCTCCACACCACCCTCCCCTTCTTCTCGCCATCTCTCAGAGAGAAGTAGCAGCCTTCAGGAGAGGATCCAGGCCACCACCCAGGCAGCAACCTCTGGTGTCAGCGCGGCCATAAATGAAGCTATAGACTCATATTCTGTGTCAGGCTATGGCACTCTTAGATCACTGTCCTCGCGTAGGTCTGCAGCAGCAAGCTCTGCTTACGGGTCTCTGAGATCTGTAGCTGCCTCCTCCAGCTCGGCGGTTCCTTCCAACACGGTGAATGTACCTGTGTTTTCGTTAATCAATGTCATTCCAGAGACCCCTGCCAAACCAGGGCCTGGGTCTCTCAAAATGGCACTGCCTGATTCTTCTCGTGCCTCATCCACATCTTCTTCCTCTTTGTCTTCCTGCGTTACCTCATCAAAAATAAGGTCCCAACTGAAATCCCCTCCATTCATCACACCGCCCATTATCCACCCAACTGGAACTACCAACCAGGAGATACTAAAAGATGTAGCAGATATGAAAGAGGACCTGATCAGAATGACAGCTATCCTACAAACAGACACACTGACAGCAGCTAAAACTGTTCAAACATCATATACTGGCACTCCTAAAGAGACAAAGTTAGAGGATGAGGAACCTTTTAGTCTAGTGGAGAAAGTGAAAGAAGATTTAGTGAAAGTCAGTGAGATATTAAAGAAAGATGTCAAGAGTGAAGGTAAGGCTATTGCAGGTAAGGAGAGCGCCTCAGAGGATGAATGGGAGGAATTTTCCAATGACGAGATTGAGGAGGCACAAAGAAGTTCCTTCCCAGACTTTTACCCTCCTTTTGATGAAAACACACTCCTGCTCAAGCAGCAGTCCATGTCCAGCAAAGACTTAGAGTTGGCTAAAGTAGTAGACTTTTTAACAAAGGACATTGGCGCTAGCTCTCTCTCCAGAATGGCAGAGTTAAAATGTAGGCACGAGGAGGAGGCGAAAAGGGAAGGGGAAGAGAAACAGAAACGTGTTCTTAAACCATCTATGTCGATACAAGAGCACAAACTCAAAATGCCTCCACCAGTCTCAGGCATGCTCAGGTCTCCTTCAGAGAAAGACCTAAGCAAACTTACTGAATCATATCAGGGGACGGACACTATTTTGGAGTCACCCGAGGACCTGTCCCATGAGCAGGATAAGAGTCCACTGTCAGACAGCGGGTTTGAGACCAGGAGTGAAAAGACGCCCTCTGCTCCTCAGAGTGCAGAGAGTACAGGACCTAAGCCTTTGTTCACTGATTCACCCATACCTCCCTGCGTAAGTGAGACCAGGACTGAAGTGGTCCACCTTAGGAGCTATGAGCTGCCTGATGATCCTTGTGAGCCTGTACTCATGGGAGCTGCATCTGCTCTTCCTTCTATAGAGCCAGGTGCAGCTTCAACGAGCTCCATGAAAGCCTTACAGTTGAAAATGCCAGAAGAGGACTCCATGATGAACAAAAGTGTGTGTCGTAAAGAGGAAACTCATATCACTACTACAACTAGAATGGTTTATCACAAGCCCCAACTGACTGATGGCGCAGAGATAATAGAGGAAGGTATGTCAGTTAGAGATATCATGAAAGCTTTCCAGTCAGGTAGGGACCCATCTAAAGAACTGGCAGGCCTTTTTGAACACAAAGCTAACCAGGATTCTGTAAAAGGTGATGAGCTGACTCCTAGATTTCTTGACAGAGACGTTAAATCCAAACCCAAAGTTGAAAGGATAATCGAGGTTCATATCGAAAAGGGCCACAGCACAGCAGAGCCGACTGAGGTTATTTTCAGGGAAAGCAAGAAACACCCTGAGCTTTATGTGTACAAGGACTATGGAATTAAGGAACTGACTGATTACGATGAGGCCCAACAGGAAGAGGAGGAACTTAATGCAGAAGAATCTCTGCCCTCCTTCCTAGAAACATCTCGCGTTAACACCCCTGTTTCACAGGAGGAGGATAGTCGCCCAAATTCCGCCCAGCTGATAGCAGATGATTCATACAAAGCCCTGAAACTATTGAGCCAGCACTCCATAGAATATTGTGACGATGAGGTATCAGAAATCAGAGGCGAGTCATATAGGTTTGCTGAGAAAATGCTTCTTTCCGAAAAACTTGATGCGTCATCGCTGTCTCACTCTGACACAGAGGATTCAGCAACGGTGACTGACAAAAAACACCACCTAGTTTCTGATGAGAGTGGTAGCCGTAGCACTGAGAGCCAGCAGCATGGAAGCCCTAAACGAGAGTTTGTTTCTCAGTCATCAAAAGATGGATCCCCTATATCTGGTAAATTTGTGCACAGAGACGAACCATCTCAGTTTGATAAGGTAACAGTGCTTCACTACTCCACAGAGCAGGGCAGCCCCAAACATGCTGTTTGGATGCGATTTACAGAGGATAAACATGACAGGAGCAGGGATAAGCTCCTTTATGAGGATAGGGTGGATCAAACTGTAAAGGAAGCTGAAGAAAAACTCAGTGAGGTATCACAGTTCTTCCGTGACAAAACAGAGAAGCTCAATGATGAGTTGCAGTCCCCTGAGAAAAAGCCTGTTAGACGAGAGCCAAAGGAACCCAGGTCCTGGCCTAACTCAGCCTGCAGTACCCCTGAGAAAACACAGCAGAAACCTAAAGCAGAAGAGGGCTTCAGTAAAAGCAAACTCAGGGAGCCTTCTGTTGGTAAAATGTTTGGCAGTACCACTACAACTGAAAAGAAAAGTTCCAGCTTACCGAGCAGTCCCCAGAGAAGCATGCTCCCTCATATCAGTGAGGATAAAATCAAACAACAAACTACAACCAGTGAGTCTGAACCCTCTTCTCCCTCTCATGTAAAATCAACATCTAAAGTGAGTGCTGTTAGGATGAAGTTTGAATCTGAGGCTCAAAAACAAAGTCAGTCTAGTCCAACTAAAACTCCTCCTCCAGTACAGCCAAAACCTTCAGTAAAGAAATTACAGGAGAGCAAACTTCCTGTTTATCAGTTTTCGGGAGGAAAAACGTCAAAAATATCTGAAACATCAGAAAAGGTATCCCCAAAAAAGGATAAAGAGAAGGACACATGTCCTGCCACAGACAGCAGTAAACATGATCTGATATCATCAGCATCTAAAGCTCCAAAACCTACAGGAGACAAGTCTCCAAACAAAAACATCCCAGAGCCTTTGTTGCAAAAACAAATTTGTGAAACCGACAGTCAAAAAGCAATTACTAAAGGGAAAGATATTCCTTCTACTGTTACTCAGGAAATTAAAGACAGCAATAAAGGTCAGAAAGCCCAGACACCTGTTGTTCATGATACTACTAGACTACTAATAAAAGATAGCGATGCTAAAAAGAGCCAGCAAGTCACAAAAAGTGAGTCTGCTTCCAAAGAAGTAATATCTGAGGTGTCAAGAAAAGACAGAGAAGAACCACCAAACAAAAACCTTAGAAAAAAGACAGAATCCCGAATTCCTGTAATATCGTCTTCCACTTTAGATAATGAACTCAGTAAGAAACAGACAATAACTAAACCTTCACAGATACCTACATTATCTAAGAGCAAAATGCAGGCGAGTCTTGAGCCAACCCTGGCCAAAACAGATGAAAATCTGACCTTTGAAATTCTAGATAATGCACCCAAAGATTCCAACTCCAACAACATTTCCAGCACCAGAGACACACTGGAGAAAGTCATAACACCTCCAACTGCTGCAACAACCAAAGAGAACTTCAAGGGCATCAAAACGTTGCCCGTTTATGTCAGTGTCCAGGTGGGAAGGCAGGGAGAGAGGGAAGCCAAAGGAACACTGTACACAGTCAAATCAAACTCAGCACTCAGCCCCATAAGCCCAGATGATGACACGCTAGAACAGGTCTCTTTCGTAGATAGCTCAGGGAAAAGCCCCCTTACACCAGAGACCCCCAGCTCTGAGGAGGTCAGCTATGACCTCACGGCCAGGACCCCTGATGGCTTTATGGGATTCTTGCCAGGGAAACCCAGCCCAATCATGGAGGTATCTGAAGAATCAGAGGAAGATGACCAAAGCAAAGTTGTTTTCTCTTTTAAAGAGGTCCTACCAGAAAGCAAAACTACTGTTCACAGCACACAAGCGGATCTCGCTAATGCTAATGAACAAGAAACAAAGAATAATGATGAAGAGCTGGAGTTAGCTTATAATTTCAACCAGCAAGAAACAGCAGCCAATGGCATGCATGATGAAATGACCGAGCAGGAGCACCAAGAGGTCTCAAAAGACAAAGGTGTCGCATATATTGAGTTCCCTCCCCCTCCTCCTTTGGACTCGTCTTCAGAAATGTCAGACTCTGAAAGGAAAGGTTCCTGCGCCTCCTCAGAGACTGAGACAGAAATGATGGAGGTGAACTTACAGGAAGAACATGACAAGCACCTGCTGACCGAGCCAATTATACGTATCCAACCCCCTTCCCCGGTGTCCGCGGGGGAAGATGACAGTCTGTCAAATGATGAAGATGCAAGGAAAGAAGAGGATGAGTCAATATTTCAACCAATTCCTTGTAGAAAACTCAGTTTCAAAGATAATGAGGAGGAGGAGAAGAGGAAGGAGAAGGAAAAGGCATCTAAATCCAAAAAACATGACAAAAATGGAAACAACAAAGAACCTAATGGTGGGACCAATGGCACCAATGGCTCCAATGGTTCTAATGGTTCTAATGGTTCTAATGGAAAAGGAGAGGACTATGAATATGAACAAAATGGAAATGACCAGTCAATTACAGACTGTTCAATGGCCACAACGGCTGAATTTTCTCATGACACAGATGCGACAGAAGTTGACTCCCTAGATGGATATGAACTTCAGGATGAGGATGATGGCCTGTGCGAGCAGGCAGATTTACGTCAGTTTGGTCTTCCAGACAGCCGGAGAGACGTCTGGGCCACAGACACATACAGGTCCACTGACCGCTCTTTTCCTCCGACCAAACTGGAAGTTATTGAAGAGGAGAAAACCCCGGAAGAATGTCCAAAGGACACTTTCAAAAAAGATACCCCCTCAAATGGCGGAATACCTGATGGTGTTAGTAATATTGGGGTTAAAGTTCAGGAACAAAACAAGTCAGATAAAGAGGGATTTTCAGATACTTACTTTAGTTATAAGTTAGAAGAGGAGTTTAATTCTACTTTTAAGACTGTTGCCACTAAGGGGCTGGACTTTGACCCCTGGCCCAGTAAAGGTGGAGAAGAAGAAGTCGTTGACATGGGAGGGACAAGGGGAAGCAATGGTGAGCCTAAGCCTTTTGGACTGGCAGTGGACGACCAGTCTCAGGCCACAACACCAGACACGACCCCAGCCCGAACACCAACGGACGATAGCACGCCGACGAGCGAGCCGAATCCATTTCCCTTCCATGAAGGGAAGATGTTTGAGATGACACGCAGTGGTGCGATTGACATGAGCAAGAGGGACATGGTGGAGGAGAGGCTCCAGTTTTTTCAAATTGGTGAGCATAACTACTCAGCGGGCAGGTACAGGGTCAGGGACTCAGAGGTAAATGCCTCCTCACAACATGGGGATCAGTTTAATTTTCAGCATCCCATAGATACCTTAACAGTCCCTCATGTCTCCATTCAGACTACTACTGTCCAGCTAGAAATATCAAATGCGATTGGCAGTTACACCACATGCAGAGACTCTTCCAACACTGAGCCTAAATTCTCTACTTTTAGAACAGGATTCAAGTTGTCATCTGATAAAACCTCTGATGCTTCAAATAGCAGTTCTAAATGTAGAATATCAGGCATCTTTGATCACGCTGACAAAACCTCAGGAACAACTGTAGATAGTTCTTATTCTGTAACCTCAAACTATACAGATTATTCTAATTTTGATACATCAGGCATGACGGATAACTATTTGAATAATGGACCATCAGGCCTCACAGATTATTATTCAAATCACAGAATTCCTTCAGGGACATCCAGCCATTTGGATTGGACCTCTGAAAATCACACTTATTACCAAAGCACAGATTCTTCCTCCGCACCGTCGCAACATATTAACAATCCCCAAACATGGAGCAGCAATACCAGTAGCAACATCCCTGACTCCCATTATGTACATTCAGACGTCAGTCCGGCTGACAATATGGTGTTCAACTTGTTGTCCTCTACAGGACCCACTCTGCAGGAGGTCAGCAGGATAGAAGCATCCTTCAGCCAGCTAGAGGAGAACAGCAGGGAAGGCAGGGATTGTACTAATGTAGCAATAGCAAACACAGGAGCCAAAGAGGTCAAAGGCAAGTTATGCAAGTCCAGGTTACCAGTCAGGGCGCATAGCCGCAAACTATGCAGACAAAGTCAACCAATAGTAAAAAACACTGTTGATAAATTCAGAGCAAGAAAACCTGCAATGCACAATGTCAGGGAAAGATTAGACCCTTTTGAGAATGTATTTCCTAAATCTAGAATCCCAGTAATAAAAGCCATGAAATACTCCACTTGCTCCCGCGAGCAGAAGCAGGTTCCAACTAAGTCTGTGGTTAGTGGTAGAAGTAATGAAACCAGCAGGGTTGAAAAACAACTAACTAAAGACAGATCCATTACTGAACACAGGTACAGTGTAGTGAAAGCCACATGTAGAGGTAGCACAAATGAGACAGGGAGAAAAAACGTAGCAGCAGTCTCCAAAAATGGTAAAACAAGGTCTGTCAATAGCCAGGCAGCCAAACGTTTGGACCAAACCGTTCCCAAGGAGGCTGAAAGAAAGTTAGAGGGGAAAACACTGCCCACTGAGGACGAAGAGAGCTGCAGCCTCAGCACTGCCAGGAACACTTCCATGTCAGAACCATCTAGAGCTTCTAGAAGTTCCTGCCCTTCACGCACCTCTACCTCCACCTCCACCAGCACCACCACATCAACACCATCTGCTAGAGATGTGAGAGCTGAGGTTGAGCAGGCCAGCAGTGAGAGGATGAGGAGGAGCAGGAGGAAGAGTAGGCGGACACTTGGAGAGAAGGAGCAAGAGCAGAAGGAGGAAGGGAGTCAGGTTGATCAACCAATCACGGCTCCTGTCACGGAGAACCAGACTAGTTTGTAAACTCTTTCTAAACACTTGTTATACTTTATCTTTCTCTCTGAGATGCATGTAGCTGTTGTGGGTGCCTTGTGATGTGACGTCGTAAGTGTAGCTGTCACTTCTTCTTCCTGTCATTCTTGTTATCTGTGTCCTGTGCTGTCTGATTTAGACAATAAGGTAAAGCCTAAGACACGGAGAGTCGATGACAGCATCAGCAATATTCAGAATTGGTCGCTGGATTCCTCGTTTCATGCTGATTGATTGTTTAAATCGGTTAGGGAAAGCGATGTCCGTATATGTGACGGTGGATTAATTCACGGCTAGTGGAAGCTTTACAACAGACTGTAGTTATGTCTTTGGTGCGCTGCAATTTCAATATCAGCAAACACGTTTTAGTTATCAGTATTGGTTTGCAAGTAAGCACACCGGCTACCACACACATTCTCACTCTCATTTCACACTATAGATCGAGTTACCTTCACACCACACCACCAAAACACCACACCGCTCACCTCCACCTTCGACAAGATTAAGACCCAAGATGTGAAAGATTGTTTAGGGGGAAATATGACCTTGTGTTTGTTTTGGTCTGCTTGCCTGGTTTGTAGAAATCATTTGGTGGTACTCTTTGCTCCCTGAAAACACTGCGAAAACAATTCATCGGCTGAACTTGACAATCAGAAAAGATGTCCGCTGCATGGGAGCGTGTCTGTGTAGTTAGTCGTTGGGAAAACCTGCTGCAGCGGGAATACTTTTGATTTCAAGTTGAAGCCATGAATTGCTTTTATCAGTGGGAGGGAATGTTGCCTGATGGTAGTTGTTTGTTGTTAGTGATGTGATGCAAAACTCTTTAACTCTTTCAACCTTTACTACAAATATTAATACTACTGAACATTTTAGTGTGAATATGTGGTTTTCGTTTTTTCCTTTTCTGGCCTCACAGATCCTCATGCTTTTGATATTGATTTTGTATAATCAGTAGTCTCGCTGATAATTTACTAATGTAGTCTAATTCTACAGTCTAATTACATTCATATTTTGTGTTTTCTTTATGTTTAGTTAATTGTACTGAAGTATGAATGCTAGTCTAGTAAAGTATTTTCCCTAAAGCTTAATAATTAAGAACAAATAAAAAGAATGCAGCTGTATAGACCAGACTATTTTGATTGTGGGCAACATGCAGAAAAATGTAAGGAGTCTCGGGTCAAACGATAAATGCGATAAAAGTCTTCAACCACTGCGAGACAATCGGTGCTTCTAGACCAGAAAACCGCATGTGCAATCAAAATAAATAAAATAACTACGCAACACTAGTAAACAGCTTAAAGTTTGACATTAAAGTGATATCAAGCTCCTCATCAAACTATTTCTTTTAGCAAGCGTCCATTATCCAAACTGAGGAGAGTTTGGCCAGAAAACCTTCTTTTTTTCTTTTTTTTTCCAGAGGTGAGACGTGGGACAGTGAGCTAAAGTTAGTCTTTATGTTTGTTCAGTCGACAACACCTACAGGGTTTGATATGATTATCACATCAGAAAATGCCCCAAAAATGACACAAAAACTCATTTTAATTATAGGCGTATATTAACAAGGTATTTAGAAAGTCTTATGGTTAAACCACACTAAACAATCTGAAACAGACAAACTTTCAGTTCACAATCCCAGACTGTTTCTTTTATCATTGATCCCCTCTGCAGCCATTTTATAGGAGCCATTTTTTGTGCGTCTCTTTCTAAGAACTACATTTAATTCATTTTGGGATTGTTGTCATAATGTCCCATGTTAATGGTTGGTGTCCTGCCCTTCCCTGCTTCCTCGCCACAGGCCCTCAGAGTCCCTGTGAGAGAACAGACCTCCGTATGGCAATAGTAGCCGACCACCTCGGACTCAGCTGGACTGGTGAGTCTACGCACGTTTCACACTATAAGAAAAACACACAAAAACAAGCGTGAAAAGTGATGAAAGAGAACTGTCTTTACTGTGGAGAAACAGCTGAGATGTTCCTCTCAATCGGTTCAGCGTACAACCAGCACATTTGAGTTTGAATACAGAATATTTCGTCCTCTAGACGTGAACTTGCATTAATCTCTCACATTAACTAATATTTAGCAGCTTTCAATCAGTCATTCATTATTTCTTTGCCACTGCTTGAGTATTTCTTTGCCAGGTTGTGATTACAGAAAGATAAAAAAGGTGTGATAATCTGTCATAAATTGTAAGAAATAAAGGAGAATTGGGACCCTGGAGTAACTAACGAGAGTCTCCTGGGAAAATCCTGAGGGTCGGAGAGACAACATTTAATATATTCACTGATAAACATTAGACAGGAACCCTGTCTTGCAACAATGAGGATTCAGTATGAGAATGTGACAGCACACCCACGTGTATGAATGAATGAATGAATGAGCTGGACTGAGACCAGCTCTCACAACATTTCACAGTGTTTGTTGCCATCTGGTGGACGTGTAGTTCATAAACGTCTCGACTGAGCAGTACTGCAGTGGTATTCATACCACATACATCATCGTCACTACACCAATGATGCAACAAGGAAGTAGGAACATTCCCAAAACTTGGATTGCATTGTAATGTATCAAGTGAATATCGATAACACACACACACCTCATGATGAGACAAATTGTGAGTTAGGGGCCTGAAAATATATACAATCATTATTGTATTATTAATTCCTACAGCAAAAAGCTTGTAGAGCAATCTGTTTGTATTCTTCTATGTCATGTATCTTTGTGTTTGGATGTGTGTTAGAAGATTTTATGTAAATATTGTTTTTGAGCTGCAATAAGGGTGGGGCCTCTGCAGTTTATTCCAAGCCTGACCACCTGCACTGCAGCACTGCCCCACGCCTGCCTGCATGTGTGTGAGTGGGCGTCACCGCGTGTGTGTGCGTGTGTGTGTGCGCACAGACGTCCATCTGAAGTGCGTACGAGTATGAATAGTTGTGTGCCTGTCTGTCCGGGGCTCTGACTGGGTGCGTGGAATTGAATCCATATTTAATGTGTGTTCGTGTTGCAGAGCTGCAGTGATCGAGCTGCTGAACATTATGTTCTCGTGGTTTTACAATTTATGGCCAGTATGCTCGTCTGTACACGCAGCATTTCACTCCTCCGTTAGCTTCGGACCGTTTTTTGGCACAGTGTTTGGTTATCACTGTCATTTAGCAACTGAGCAAGCACTGAGGAAGTAGAGGAAATATAAGTATTGACACAAATCATAGAGAGTTTTCCATCAGACAACAGTGTCCATCCGAGTTTAGCTTGTAACATGAGAACCAGTGACTCGGAAGGTGAATTATACTTTCTGCAAACCTGAAATCTAATTTGAAATGCCTCCCTCTCCATATTTCTTTTCCAGATACTTATCATATTTCTACACGTCTTTGTGGCAGCGATTTGTTTGCGCCACATATGATGTGTCAGCAGATTACTGACTGTTTTGTGCTGTCACAATTCAGCCACTGATTAAGACAGCACATGCAGCTTAGTGGCTGTTCAATCACAAGTGCAGACATTTTTAGGATAGGTTACCTTTAATAGAAATGAGACTTTAGACCAGAGACGTAATGTTGGTGTCAGGGCCCCACCCGTTGAGCAACAAATAAATGACTGCGTCTTTATGGTTTTACCTTCTTGCCGTTTCAGAGCTGGCCAGGGAGCTGGATTTCTCTGTGGATGAGATCAACTTTATCAGAGTGGAGAACCCCAATTCCCTGACAGCACAGAGCTTCATGTTCCTAAAGAAATGGGTGCACAGGGACGGTAAAAATGCCACAAGTAAGCAGTATGTGTGTGTATGTGTGACGGAGAGAAATGGATATGGCTGTTGTCGGTCATATCCAGGTTGTCTTCTCCCATCCTGACATTATCGTACATGAGATGAGAATACATATTTCAGTGGCCAGCTTATGAAAACAATGAATCAATAGAACTGACAACATCAAGGTTGTGTGGTGTTAAAACACGACTGCAAATGTCATTTCTCTGTCTCCCTCTCTCTCCTCTCCAGCGGATGCTTTAACTGCGGTGCTGACTAAGATCAATCGGTTGGATATTGTGACTTTGCTGGAAGGGCCCATATTTGACTACGGTAACATTTCAGGCACACGCTGCTTTGCCGATGATAACGCAGTATTCCCGGATCAGTCCGATGGTAAAGTGTAGCCCACCCTAGCTGAACTCTTAAGTCTATCTCTCAGTCTATCCCTTCACTCCTCTTCACCTCCTCTCTCAGCCAGATAGTCAGACCTGACTGTGTAAACAAATGCCAGAACCAATCAGGCTTGACCAAATAATGAACGTGCATTAGAATTTAACCAAAACGACTTAATGCTCCGGCAGGTTCCTTGAGCCTAATGGACCTTCAGGTAGTAATAGCATTGGAGTCGTCCTCTTTGAGCAGTCACCCGAGTCAGCTTGTTAGTTGTCCAACACTGGGCAGTGCACTTAATTTGTAGCACTCAGTCATTGGAACGTTAATGGCAAGTGATAGATTCTTGGGTGATTTATTAACATATTTTTCGATAAAATCTGTACCATTTTGGGTGCATGAGACTTTAGTATGTTTGTCTGTTTTTTGTAAGCATGATCCTGAAGCAAATGTGAGCCGCCAATGAACCGGTGTCTCTGTCCCATCTGATGAATGTGTTGATAATCCTGATGATGAGATTATGAATGAAGCACATTGTCTTCAGATGGGTTAGGGCGGACGTTCATGATTTGGTTTAACAACAGTTATGTTTATGTGTATGTTATAAGACCTTTAACTGATACCCACCACATCTCCTTTTGTCAATTTCTGTGGTACGCTATTACATAATGCAGAGAAACATAATTATAACAACCAATTTATAATCATGGCATGCTTGCTTTAAGCAGCATGGCAAGTCTTTCTCTCTTTCTAACTTTCTCTCTCTCCTCTTAAATGAAAATGAAATGTGGCAGCTGTCAGTATTCTCTGATTGTGACGGACCCAACAAGGGTCATTTCAGAACTTTGATCTGCCTTCTGTTACAGATAGTTGATATATTCAGCAGTTAGTCTTTTATCTCTCTAGGTAGATGCATTGAAACAGTCCAATGGTGGAAGTAGCAGAGTATTTACTCAAGCACAATGTTGAGGTACTTGCACTTTACTTGAGTATATTTACTTTCCACTACTTAACACTTCTACTTTGCTAAATTTCAAACGGAAATATTGTACTTTTTACCTCACTACATTTATCTGACATCTATAGCTACAAGTCTGTACAACTGTATATAACATAGTTAAAATTAGCTGAACCGTGACCAACTACAACAATGACATGCTTATGTTAATACAGCAGTAATAATAATATAATAATGACGGGGACCACCCTGCTGCGTAATGAGTACTAGCTAACTTACCTTGCTGTCTATACGTCTCTATTACAACGCAGGACTTAAACTTGTAATAGAGTATTTTTCTATTATTATTTTGCTACTTCTACTCAAGTAAAATATTTGAATATTTCTTCCACCGCTGCATCAGCTGTATGCTTGACATTTTTGCCACTGCCATTAGGCCTGCATATGCATCCCATCATATAGTTTCAGAAAGGTTTCCAACCAGCATACAGCTGCACATTCTTCCATTGTTGCGCCTTTCTTCGTCAAGGAAACAAGGGAATAAAGAGCACCATTCAAATCATGTCAGCTCTCTTTAGCTCGGCACTCTTTGAGACAAACTTCTGAAATGGACCTCGTTGCCGATCTGTCTGATTAGGTTTCTGAAAGTCATCTTAACACAAGGATCCGTGCTACGTTCGCTTTTATAACGGTGGATCGTTCTGCAAAGATGATTTAAAATGAAACCAACGTTTAACAGACAAAAAGTCAACAAAATGCATGGCTATCTATGGTTTTGTGTGAGAGGCTGCCTGCTCCCATGTTGTTGGCTTACAACAATACACTTCTAACACTCTTCGAATGGGTGCAGCCTTTTCAACACAACGATGCACGAGTGTTTTGGCAGAGCACTCTGTCCCAGATGACGCTCGCAGATGGGTTGAAAATGAAACACCTTTTTTCAAAGTGTGCAGTGTATAATTCTGCTTCTGTGCCACTGCTGTTAGCTGTACTGTATCTGTCATCTCCTGGGTTCCCCCCGAGCCTCCCAGCTTCTACTGTAGCTGCTCCTGCTTTGAGACCAGCAGACTGCCTCCCGCCTCCTCTCTCCTCTTCTTCTGCTTCTCAGCGACTAACTCCTTCAGCAGATTCCCTTGTCAGCGCTAACCACCAACTAACCAGCTATTTTCCACCAGTGACTACCCTTTGCTAACTTCAGCAGCTTCTGGATCCAGCTTCTGCTTTTCACCCTCGCTGCTGAGCTCAGGCCCGACTAAAGTAATACTGGAAGTACAACAGTGCCCCCCCTTGTCAGCACTTACAACTGTCCACAAGTCATGTAGGGAGCTAGAATCTTCTAGAAGCCTCTGCTGCCCATCTGTGCTCTAACTGGATGACATCCACAGCTAACTAGCACGCGTTAGCATTCCCAGCTCCCATCCTGCTTCTTCTTAGTTCTGAACTCGACAAACTTTAGATCTCCTATATCCCAAAACCTGTTCTCATAACTCGACTGTTAGAACAGATGCTCCTGCTTTTCACTGTTCTTGCTTATCTATCGCGAGATAAGCGATCCCATGAGTCTGGTGTGCAGTATCTTTGCTTCTGCGGCTTCTAAAACATTATTTGTCTTCATTGATCACAAGTTCACTTTACTGTCTTGGCATCAATCTGTTTCATATGCTGTTTGTCTTTTCATCCGAGTCTCGTCTAACACTTGTGTGTGTTTGTTTGTTTTTCTTTTGTCTCGTGTTGAACTGTGATAATTGTAATAGCTCCAAAGCTTCTTAGAACTCCTACGTTCCCCCCGTGTCCTCAAATGCTCCGGCCTGTCACTCCTCTCTATACTCCTCCTCCCTCATCTACCTTTGTCTCCTCTTTGTCTCCTCCCTTTCATCCAAGCCATATCACTCATTTCTCTCTCCCCTCCCCTCCTGTTGTCTCTTCTCTCTCCTCTCTCTTTCACTTCACGTCTCCCCCTCCCACACCGCCTGTTACTCCTGTTCTCCCTCACTTTTTAACTCCATCTTACTCCCCATCTCTCCCCTCCTCCTCACCCCGAAGCCCTTGTAGCGGCTCCTCGTTCTTCTCTCCTCCTCCGTTTATTCCTCACTGCTTTCCTCCCTCTGCCCTCCCTCTGCCCTTGTCTCCTCCAGCTCCCTCTGTTTCTCCTCTCGCTCCTCACCCTTCTCCGCATGTTAAATCGTCTTCCCCTCTTCCCTCGCCTCCCCCTTTTCGCACCTCCCTCTCCACCTCTGCTCCTTCCTCTCCCACCTTCCCATCTCCTCCTCCCTTGCCACCTTCTCCAGTTGACATCCACCTTTCTCCTCATTTTCCCTCCCCTCCTCCCCCCTCTCCCTCTTTAACATGTCACTCCTTGCCTCCTCCACGTTCTCCTCCACATCTCCCCCTTTCTACCCCTTCATCCTCTCCCTTTCCTTCTCCCCCACCTCATTGTTCCCCTTGTCCTCCCCTAAATCATCACTCTGCTCCTCCCCCTTTACTTCCCACCTCCCCTCCCCCCTCCCCCCTCCCTCCTGGTGTCCCTTCGTACTTCAGGCGAGATCGTTCTGTTCCTGAATTCTACATTTAGATGCCTTTTTGTTGCTCTTCTCTTCTTTGCCTTTTGTTGAAACATACACAACTAACTTACCTGAATTCTACTCGAGCTTTTGCTCATACTTGAACATTAACCTATTATATAGTTATTGAGACCGTCCTCGTTCATTTCAATTGTCTGAAGTGCTTTTACAAAAGGCTTGGCTGACTAAATTGCCAGTTTGAAACTACAACAGTTCCTGAGGCACTTTGTGACGTTAGTGTGACTGTTCATGTCAAATTTATACGAATCCAGTACATGTGAAGTTTCTATCTTTTATATTCTGTCTTTGGCACTTTGGTTTCTCTGTTTCCATCTTGTGATGTTATCATGTGTCTACTCTGTACCGCTGGTCCAGCAGTCACACAGGAGTCCCCGCCTGTTTGTTGAAGAAGGAGAATCCTTAAAGCAGCATTCAGTATTGTTTTTGTGAGCCACTTTGGGGCATCACAACACCTGCGAAAGCACAACAAAGCTGACATGGCAAATATGTTATCAAGAAGTTTCATATCTACACATTCAGCAAATAAGAAGCATAATTAGCATTCTTCTGGAGTTGTGTCACTTTGCTTGTGTAAGTCCAATATTCACTCTCTTTTGGCTCCGTTTTCTAGCTGCTAATTGCTCCACTATGTTGACCGGGTGGTTGCAGAATGTGACTGTCTGTCCACAGAGAGTAATCACACTACACTACAGGTCCCTTCAGAGCTTTTTAGCTGCTTTTAGCTCTTTGATTTAGTTTGTTTTGCCCGCAGACTTAACTCTTGACATGAAGCAACTGTTTTTATTTAAAAGCGCTGATAAACCCACTGCACGCCACACGGCAGACAGATAATGTTAGTAACTAGGAGGTAAAAAGATAAACATCGTGGCTAAAGGACCACATATCTTCTCAGGAGTTGGTGGAGACCAAAACAGAGCTAAAAAAGAAGTGAGTTCTAAGTAAACACTCCCTTCCCATCACCAAAAGACTGGCAGATGAAGCTAGCAACTAGCCGATATCTCAAGTTGGTAGAGACCAAAAACAGGGTTAAAGAAGAGTGAATATTGGACTTACATTCATCTGTTGGACACAAATACGACTGCAAACGAATGATAAAGTTTCTCTGTGTCTGCTTGATGTGTAAGTTCACCATATGAGCTTCAAAGGGTGATAATATTTCAATGTTGTGTTCGCAGCTTGTTCTGCTGCCGCCTAGTTGCCAAAAACAAATCACAGGTTAAAAGTGTATTGGGGTTACACCTGTCTGACTTTTGAACAAAAGCTAGATGTTACAAGTGTTTCTCATTTCATCACCTCCACCACTCAACCCACCCTTCCCTCCTTCCCTCCCCTGTTTTTTGTCTCTCCCTCCCTCTTCGATCCCCTCACCCTCTAATCCTTTACTCCTGCCATCCACCCAGGATACGACAATATAGATCTGGAGCTGCAAACCCCCACAGACCTGAACTACCAGCCCCCCACTCCGCTTCGCTCAGACGACTTCTTTAGCGAAGGCGAAGCTAGCGCAGACTCCCCTAGCAGGATCACGCTTACTAGACCTAGCGACCTCTCTCTCACTCAGACCACCAGTACCTCCAGCAGCGACCCCCCCACAGTCGCCGCTGGCCCCACCTTCAGTGCCCCGCAGCCCCCTATCGTTGGGGCCGAAGATACAACCTGGACCGCTGGAGAAAGAGATTATGAGAGGCCAGATAATGACAGACGGTCAGTAGAGCAATTAGGAAAGGGAACAGACGGGCATGCGGAGGCCTTAGAGAAAGAACTGAAGGCAGGGCTTGTTTTGGAGCGTCAGGGAGAAGATGCTGCCTCAGACACCGCTCATGGAAATGGAAGGCAGGAAGAAGAAGAAGAGGAGGAGATGACTCCGGAGAGGCTGCAGAGTCTGCTGGATGACATAAAGCAGGAGGGAGGCTTGGAGGACGAGGAGATGACAGAGGAGAGGATGAATGAGATCCTCGAACAACTGCATCAAGCAGAAAAAGACGTGTGTTCAGTTCCAGGCTGGAGATGCGAGACGTCCGGCGCGATCGTAGAGTCGGCAGCCACTGGCCACAGCCCCGGCACCGAGGAGGGCAGGTAGGATCTCTTTTCTTTTAAACTCTGTTTACAGATTTACACACCTTGGTGTTTCTCAATCTGGTAGTTTTACGAGCACTGTATTTCACTCCTCTGCAGCCCCGACAGTCTGGCTGATTTGTTGGAGCAGCCTCCGGCTCAGACCGGCAGACAGAACGGAGGTCACATCGACGCAGCGATTGAAGAAAAGGAGAAGGAGGCCAAGAGGAAAGGATCTCAGGAGGACAGCAGCACAGCGGGACCAAGCAGAGGCCGGCAGGAGGGAGGTGAAAGGTCACAGCACAAAGTCCAGGTGAGAGTCGCTCTTAGGGTGTGTCAGCTGACATTTATTTACTTGTTTATATTTTGTAGAAATGTATGCATAAACACATTATGTCTGTGGCCTTGAAAAAGGCCTGTTTTATACAGAATGTTAAGCCTTAACTTCAGTTGTAGTGGGTTTAAAATGAAGAATGTAAGCTTACGTATTTTATTTTAACTTTCCACAAAGTCATAAATTGAAGACTCATACACACCCACTTGCTCATCAATGTAACAATGCTACTGGGCTGCCTTCGTCAGGAGAGTGTTAGAGCTGACGAGTCCAGCTCCGATGAGGAGACCACTGTCACCACCAGGGTGTACCGCAGACGAGTCATACTCAAGGTGTGTAAGGTCTGGTGTGTGGACAGCTCGAGGCAGAGTGAACCTGCATAAAGCTTTGAGACTCTGTGTGTGAAGGAGACTGAGTCACAGAAATAGATTGTGACGTTAGGCTGTGCTGGTTTGTGTTTGTCAGCCTTTGTGTGTTTTATAGAGTGAAAGTATGTTTGTTATGTTTGTGTGCAGCTGTAAGTTTTATAGGATAAAGAATGTATCATAGAGAGGTTTCCATCCAAACTTTTATTTTCAACTTGCACATAAAAAGTCTGAGTGGAAAGTCTTGAGTCAAAATATCACAAAAGGTTTTTAGGCTTGGCTGAGGTGGAAGAGTTTGTTTGTAGATAAAAATACAAAAAGTGCAATGGAGCCGGATTATTATTAATAAATCATGACTTACTGTTTCACTGAAGAGAATAAAACTAGGAGCAGATAAGAGAATGTAACACTGGTCTGCAAAGTATTAGTGAAATGTCCCAAATATTTTCCCCCAAAAATTTGGAAAATGTCAGTTAAATGTCGGAAACATTTTACCAAAAATATTTGTAAAATATCCAAAACATATTGTTAAAAATTCAGAATAATGTCTGTAAAATAATAGTAAAATTACAAAAACATTTTACGAAACATATTTACATATTATTTCCCAGAAAATGTAAGATATGTATTAATTATATTCGTAAAATCATATTTAAAATGTCTGAGAAATATTAGTGAAATGTCCAGAACATTTTCCAAAATTCTTTTGTAAAATATCTGAAAAATTGTAGTAATACAATTTGTAAAATGTCCAAAAAATGTTTAAATAAATATTGGTTAAATATCTGAACAACACATAATTTACCATTTCCATAATGTAAGGTTTTTGATTACATCATCTTGTTGCGCTTTCTTCTTCTGCAATGATTTAATGGCACCCGACTCAGGACCATCAACTGTTTATCTTCGTTTGCCTCGACACCTAATAGTCACATAAGAGTAGTGGATGGAAACACTCATTCCTATTTTCTTTGGATGGAAACTTGACTATAGCTGCATAGAGGTGTGTGTGTGTGTGTGTGTGCGTGTGTTTAGTCTTGCTATAGCATGAAGTGCTACTCACTGCTTGTTGGGGTGAGCACCAGCTGTGATGTTTGGTGTTGCTGCCTGGTTGGTGGCCTGTTGGTTGTGCTGTGTTTGGCTCATGTATAGAGAATAGTGATGTTTGTTATCATGATTCTGAGGCTGGATTTACACAGAAAATCTGTAAAAGTTATGTTAAAACCTCCATCTTGGTGTCCATGAGTCTACTGAAAAGACTCTAAAGCCTTTAGATGTCTGCTCACTCTTAATTCAAACTGAATAAGAGCATCAACTACATGTTTGAATTGTAATGTACAGAACAGATAACATATTACTTTTGAGCTGCAGCTAATAATTATTTTCATTATCGATGAATCTGATGATAATGTTCCTGATGAATCATTCTTTACGATGTCAGGACACAGTTTGTCGGAGCAGGGTGATGCTGCAGCTCTAACATACAGATGGTCTGTCTCTGTGTAAATGGAGCCTCAGTTGAGCCGACAGTGTGAATATTTGCTTGTGTGGTTGTTACTGTGGAGTGAGGAAATTCTCTCTTGTTAGAAATTGAAGGAAAAAGTCATCGTCGTACAAAGTTTGCAGCTTTTTTAGTTTGTTATACTCCGGACACGTCTGCTTGAAGCTGTTGGCCTTTTGCAGTGATTTTACGGCACAGTATGTTCTTAATTATAATGATTTTTACATGCATTTAAAGCAATAAACCATAGCTTTTGTAATTCGTACTCTGTGTCTCTGCTACTGCCGGTGTGCGTTTTGAAGTTTGTGTTTCAGAGCCGTATTAAAATGTTGAGACAGCTTGTGTGATACTCTGGCATCAGTTGGGTTTCAACATGTAAAATAAAAACTGAAGAAAGCAAAACATTGTCATGCTAGTCCTGCATCACAGACAGTCATGGATGTTTTTTATCTTTCCGAAAATTTATAATAATGAAACTGCGCTTAAGAAAATCTTTATTCTTGATTTTAACAGCGGGAAACCCATCGGCTGTGGCAGACGTCTGTTTGTGTCCTCTGTATTCTAAATAACCAGATGAATAACAGTCTTACAGATAACCTCTCAAACCTCTTCCCAACCTCTACCCCTCCCCCCCTCCATCTCTCATCTTCCACTCGTCTTTTAACCCTCCATCCCTCCATCCCTTCACCTCAGGGAGAGGAGGCCAAAAACATTCCTGGAGAGTCTGTGACGGAGGAGCAGTTCACAGATGAAGACGGGAATCTGGTCACCAGAAAAGTAACCATCCTCACCCTCCTCCATCACCTGTCGCATCTTCATCCTACAGCTCTCTCACACACACACACACACACACACACACACAGACCCGTGTTTCCCTAGTAATATTCCAAATGGCAAAAGTAGATGCATACAGACACAGACACATTGATGCATGAACACACACTTCTACACAGTACAGTAACACTGTCGTCTCATACACACACACCTCCTCACCAAATGCTTTCCTGCTTCCCTCCCACCCCTCCCCCCCACCTCCTCCCCCCCTCCTGACATGTTCTGCCCCCTACAGGTGATCAGAAAGGTGGTGCGCCGTGTGTTCAACACGGAGGACAGGAGGGAAAGTGAGGGCGTAACTGTTACAGAAGAAGGAGCTGCTGCTGGTTTTGGTGGTGGTGGTGGTGGAGCAGGCGCTGCTTCTTCAGCAGGAGCTACGGGGGGGAAGGGCAAGAAGAGGGGCAAGCGCTCCCGACAGGGCAACAAGGCTGAGAAGTCCGGAGAGAAAACTGAGGTTGGCGTTAGAAACCAACCGCCGAACTTAAGTCACCTGAGGATTGCAGTTTGTTGCGTGCTGTGTAATAGAGTAGTAACAATGGCCTGTACACATGTGTTGTGTTGTGTGTTTCCTCTGTACTGCACTGTATCAGTAGAACCAACCCACAGTCATACAGTCCTGGCCTGTTGCTTGGACTTGAGAACTACTAATATAATGTGTTTCAACTAATATAGAAACGATAATTATTGTTCTCTTTTAACATGTCTTGACGCATGTGTGATTTGGACGCCCTCTTTTCTCTCCTGAAACTCGTCTCTCTTGCAGCGTGCTGCCTGTCATCTCCTCGACTGAGCTTCATTAACACTCGCGGCTCATATTTAGTCTGAGCACAAAGCTAACTTTAGTTTTCTCTTTGTTTTGTCTTTTGACCCTCACTGCTGTCCTCGCTCTCGCTCTGCCAAGCCTGGAGGCAACGGCAGCAAGAAACAAGGGAAGAAGAGTCAGTCATAACAGTAGAGCTCTCCACTGAACCAGGTAAGAGCTTCACACCTATTATAATCCACTCAAGTCAATGAATATCAATCTGTTGAGCCAAACCAGTAGAATGGTCACAATGTTGCTCTATAATGTTCTTTTTGGAAATGTAAAATACATTTAGCAACTAGCGCATCAAGGAGTAGTCTGACATTTTAGGAAATATGTTTATTTGCATTTTTTACAGATCTAATCAGATCCGTGGCGTTTCAGATTCACAGCATGAGTTCATTCGCAGCGCCTCAGATTTTAATTGAAGTCTGTGATCATTCACCCTCCAGGTTCACTGACGTCCGCCCGCGACACAAAACAAACGCACCAATGGGAGGAAAAACAAGACTGGAAGCCTCGTCAATCGGCCAAAACAACGTGTCTGAAGCTTTCACTTACAACGCATGGTTTTTCAGCAAGACAAACGCAAAACAAGTTACTTTTTCTTTGATTTCGCATGAGCATGTCACCAAAAACTCACTCACTGTTGTGGAAACGACACCGGAAAAAGGACACGCGTGGACGTGAGCTGGAGCTTTATCTTCCACGAATGAGAGGCGCCTGTGTGACCAAAGATGGCACAAGAAACGAGGAAAACTAAACGCTGACAGATAAGGAAGACGTGTGATTCACTCTCTCCCAAACACTCGCCTTACATGCTCTATTTTCTCCTCCTGGACCCGCAGTATTGGGGTGTACCATGTGGTTCTTTTTTTAAAAATGAAATATAATATTAAATGGGTGATTTTTGTTGTATATAAATGACACTGTATAAAATCTTTAAACGAAAAAAAAAAAAAAAAATCAGTAGCTTCACAGATTGTTTATGCACTGATTTGAGTTGAAGCTTTGCAGAGTCGGTGCATTTGTATCGAGAGGTCGACACTGTCTGAGCAGCCTTGAGTGTGCGACCCGATGCTCTTCCCCAAACCAATACGAAAGGAACAAAAAAAACACGCTGTATGTTAACGAGAAACGAACGGACGCAAAACAAATGAACCGCTTGATTTTAAACAAAGGACGTTTCTTTAACAGCTTCTTCCGCTCTTGTCTGTGGAACTTTGTCTTCAGAGAGATAATATTTTGCTGCATGTGACGTCACTTTATTTGATTTTCCTCCTGATTCAAAAGCACTGTAATACAATTAGAGATGGTACTGCTGTCCTTGTGAGCACTCATAACTCAAACATCTGTCATATATATCTGTTTTTATTTAGTTTTTTACGGAAATTAAAACGCACACACGCTCCGCATAGCAAAGCTTCAGGAAGGTACTGACGGTGTCCCCAAATGTAACCTGCAGACTGGAACATTGTGTTATCTCCTAACAGCTAGCAGCCCTGTGTGTGTGTGTGTGTGTGTGTGTGTGCATCATCAAATACAAATGTCTATCTGTGAGGCCATTACGCATACTAGAAGTGTACATTTTAAGATGTGCTGTGATTTTAAAAAGGGGACTTTTATTTTGACGGTGTGATGACTTCTATCTTTATTTAACAGGTTCTAATTACATGAAAACAAGGAATCTCTTTTTTAGCCCCATCATCCAAATATTGTTCTTTTTGTTTACGGTTAAATGATCACACATTGTTAAAAATCTCATCTGTGTAATTTCTTTCTTTCTTTCCGTTTGTCTTTTTTCATACAAAACCACCCTCAGCATCCATTGTTGATGATAAATCTGGTACCAACATGTATGACAAACCAACATAGCCTACACTGGATGACCCAATTATTTAAACAGAAAAATAAACTGTGTTTAAACTGAACGACTGAGTTTGTTTTTGCCACATTATGCAATCTGTGGAGCCTTCAAGAAAACAGAATCCAGCTTCACAGTAAGAGCCTCTCAGATGAGGGGCGTTGGATTCATCATGGACCGTGGTCGAAGAAGAATGTAGATCCTTTCCTAGTAAATGTAATAATACCACACTGAACAGGTAAAAGTCATAGTATAGTATGTCATAAAGATATCTTACAAAATTCATACATTAAATGGTCATAGTTCAGGTTGTGTGAAACATACGAGTTATAACAGTCGGCCTCCATGTTTAGATTAAATACATCAGGAAATATTATTATACTTTATAAATGATAACATAAGACACCATGTGTATATAACAAGTAGATATGCATGTCAGACTGGCGTTGTTTCATCACTTTTCTTTTTGATGTGAGCAGTTTTAAAATGTATCATTTAAAGGAATAGTTCAACAAAAAGAAAAAATATATATTTTTGCTTTCTTTCCATCAGCCAGATTTACAGGTTTATAAGCGAAGCTAACCACGCTATTAACCCGGCTCCATACAAACACACAGACGTGAGGTTATAGGGCTGCGACTAACACTTAAGTACAATGGTTCTACATAACTGAACGAGACAAAGTTCCCTCTGAGACACAGTAGAAAAAGAAAGTTTGAACTGAGCATGAAAATGTTCTCAGATTTAAGATTTAGAGGCTACAAACCATGTAAACCAGACTGAGATGAATTGAATAAAATATAAAGAGATCAACAGGAGAAAGCAAGATCGACAGCATAACCGCAGTAAATATACCATAACAAATGTCAGAAAATATCAAAAAATGCAAATTTCCAAAGTCCAAAACCCCCCAAATTATCCATTTACTATGACACACAAACACACCGAGATGCTGGAACAAGGCAACGTCCGGTATTTTTGCTTGAAAGTCGACATCGAAAAAATGAAGCAATCCACAAAATAGTCACCAAATAAGTTTCTGTCGATCGATTCATCGGCTGAGTGTTCCATTAGACAGAAAGCAAATTTGCGTATCTGCTTAAAATGTTGAACAATTCCCTAAACAGACATCAAAGACTCGTCAGCCGCGTGGATTCCTCCTCGTGAGACTGAACGTGTCTCTTCAGATCCTCCTTCCTCGCGAACCCTTTGCCGCAGACGCTGCAGCCGTGCGTTCGATCCCCCTCGTGGGTGCCCATGTGTTTGGCCAGCGAGCCGCTCGCCGTGAAGCTCTTCCCGCAAACGTTGCACAGATACGGTTTCTCCCCCGTGTGGGACCTCATGTGGATCTTCAACGCCCCGCTCTTGTAGAACTTCTTCTCGCACACGCCGCAGCGGTGCGTGGACTCCCCCGTGTGGATCATCATGTGCGTTTTCAGGGTCCCCCTCTGTCGGAATCCTTTCCCGCAGACGCTGCAGAGGAACGGTTTCTCCCCCGTGTGGATCCTCATGTGAGCCGTCATGTATTCTTTGAAGCTGAAGCTCTGGCCGCACACGCTGCAGACGTACGGTTTCTCCCCCGTGTGGGCTCTCATGTGCCCCATCAGGTTCCCGTTCTGAGCGAACGCTTTGCCGCAGACGTTGCAGACGTACGGCTTCTCCCCCGTGTGCGTCCTCATGTGCATCTCCAGTTGTTTGTGGCTGTCAAAGTGTTTGCCGCAGACCTCGCAGTCGTTCGTTTGGACGTACGTTTGCAGGTGAAGCCTCAAGCCGTCATCGGACTCGAAGCGTTTCCCGCACACCCCGCAAAGATCTGCATCATCCTCGTCTTCTTGCACGTGCTTCAAAAAAGAGGCTCTGTAGCAGAAATACTTGCCACAGACTTTACAGCGGTATTTCAGATGCGATAAATCCCTGAAATCCTTGTTTTTAAGTCCTTTAGGTTTGTTTGATTCTTTCGTTTTTGACTTTTGTAAACAAGGTCCGTCTTTGGTCTCATCTTTGTCGCTGCCTCCGTCATCACCATCGCTTCCTCCGCTGTCCTTCCACTTCTCATCACTGTCACCCGCTTCACTCTCAGCGCCAGAGCACTCCGCCTCGGACTGTTTGTCCTCCGTCTGATCCCTGCAGCTGTTCTCTTCGCTGTGGGTTTGTAAATGCACCTTCAAGCTCTCGTCAGAGTCCAGATGTTTCCCGCAGGCTCCACACAGATCGGAGCTCTGTTCGTGCACGAGTACGTGTTTCAGAAAAGAACGTTTGTAGCGGAAAAACTTTCCGCAAACTCTACAACAACTCTGTCCTGTAAGTTGGATCTTGTTTGTTGCAGAAATTTTACTTTCCTGTATTTTAATTTTCTTCCCAGCGACACTTTTGAGGAAAGACCTTCCACACATTTCGCAATAATCCTCGGCCTGGCTTTGTCTCTGAAATGTTTTTCTTTTGTTTGATTTGAGATGTTTCTCGTTTATCTGACAATCATTATCGTCACTCGCAGCGTCTGAATTGTCTGATGAGAGAACCTCGTGGTCGCTCGGCGGCAGCGTCTCTGTCTCCATCACAGTCGAGGTTCCCTTTTCTGCTCTTTGTGTTTGGTGAAGATGTGAAGGTTTACCGTGGATAACGTCACAGTCTGTCTCCGTAGACGCGTCTCTAATCTGTGGTAGACCTGATGTTTTCTGGACCTGACTGGAGCTCCTGCTCTGCTCAGAGGAAGCGTCCTTTCCACAGTTCAACCTAGAGAGCGGCAGTCTGTCTGAAGAGAAGATCGAAGAGAAAATTCAGCACGGAAACACTGAAACTAGAATAAATACCAACACCAAGGCCATAACAATGTTTTCTCTAAACAAACGTTATTGTGCCGTTACCTGGGTTTTAAATCACTTTAAAGGCGAGTTATGATGACAAGTTAAATGTTATTGACAGGAAACAAAATCAAAGACATCTATATGACTAATTCTAGCAATATAACCTTTATTAAATGTATAATATACCTGTTCCGTGTACATTCGTCTCCGTTTCCAATGAGACGCTCATCGGCTGGCGTTTACGTTCGATCTCCTCGTGGGAACTGGAGACTTCTGCCTCGTAATCTCCCAACATTTTCTCCAGAATCCTAAAGATCTCGTCAGTGACCGCCGACAGCCGCTCGTGTACAGCTGCCCTCTGCTGCTCGGGGGACATATCTGGAGGAATAAATTGGGGAAATCAGGCATAATTCGGAAATATTTTAAGAATAATTCAGCTGTAAACTGACCCAGTGGTGGAAAGTAATTGGCTTAATTTACTCAAGTATAATTTTGAAATAGGGGGAATATTGTAAATGTACCTCTACTCCATTCATTTATAAATAAAGAGTTACATTGCTATTCAGATAAAAAATATAAAATATCATGCACAAATAAATGATGGTGGTTTATTATGTATTATTGTGTATGAAGATATTTTAACTCTTGGTTAAAATCACAAGCTATTCAGCAGTAATGAAGTGATTAAAATAAGCTCCTCCTCCTTTACCAATAACTATAATTCAATAATATAACATCCATATTATTCTGCATAATGTGTAGTCTAACATTTTATATTTTGATGCAAATTTTGTAATTTGACGTCAGTAAAACTTTTGAATACTTGTAACAGAATACTTTTGCACCGTGGTATTGCTACTTTTACTTAAGTAAAAGATCTGAGTACTTCCTCCACCACTGAAAGTACCTGAAATGTGCATGTAAGTGTCGCACTTAACTAAGTAAAAGATGCTGTCTTGATCACAACCTGATGGTGGAGTGATAAGAGGACATACATGCGTCATATAAAAGCAGGTGGTGCAGGTATCTCTAAGAACGTGTCCCGTGTTTACAAACCTGAAGTGAGCTGCAGAGTCTCCTCCACAGAGCGGAATATTTCCTCCGCAGCCGCCTCCAGTCTCTCGGCCACCAGCGCCTTCACGGCCTGCAGTCTGGACATCATGGACCGGCAAAAGTGTCTCTTCAACCGGGGAGCATCGTGTGCACTTCAACACACTTTAACGGGCACAACAACGACACTAGGGATGTAGCTGCTGCCAAGCCATAGTACTTCCGGGTCCGTCTTCTTCGTGTGCTTCAAAAAGCTGACGGTTGATGGTGAAACACCGCTATCCTCTGTTCTTAGATGGTGTTACAACGATTAATGTCCCCGTAGGCCACTTGGGTCTTTTACTTATTAAGTAAAACTAGCAAAAGTACCAAAATTAAAAGTACTCATTATGAAAAAGGGCCATTTCAGAATAACGTATATATTATATTTCTGGATGATGCATTAATGTGTTCATCAGGTGGAGTTAATATTCATTACTTTATACTGCTGTGTAGCTTGTGAATTCCACCAAGGGATCAATAAAGTTGTATCTGTATTTGTAATAATACACCCTAATCTATTGATTGATTATATGTTTGTATTATCAATCTGAAGTCAACTTAGAGTATATGAGTAAAAGTACTTCATTGCTTTCCACCATTAGGTACTTTGCTTGAGTATTTTCACATTATGCAACTTTACACTTCAACTTTACCACATTGCTGAAGCCAATATTGTACTTTTTACTGCACATGTATTTCATAACTTAAAGCTACTGTGAGGACTGGCAGCAGCGGCAGTAACTACAGCTGAATAAATAGTGGAGTAGGAGTACCTTACAAAAGAAATACTCAATTAAAGTACTAAAGTACAGTACTTTAACCGCTGTCTCTAACAGTAGTAACATTAAAATGAGCTAAAATCTATCTCATTAATTCATTCAGTCACTTTGAAACAACAAAAAATTATGAATGAACCATTTAGGTAATCAGCCACTTATCTATCTGTGTGTGTGTGTGTGTGTGTGTGTGTGTGTGTGTGTGTGTGTGTGT